AGAGTTGTATAGACAGATTCGAGATATCAATCAGCTCGATACTCGAGAAACGCGAAGATTTCAAATACGGCATGCGAATTGAAGATTCGGGTTCGGGTCGCTTGTAAAATGACAGGTTCCATGCTTGCGCTTTGTGCGCGTGTATGCAGAGTATGCAGAGGTTGTGTGGGATTATGTATGTATTGTCGTTCGTAAACTGTTCTCGTGAGGGGTTTCAGCTTGCACTTAAATTTAAATGCTTGCTAAGGTAGTAAGGTAACCGGGCTCTGGATAGAAATGTGGGATTTAGATCATTAGGGCAGATCAGATCGTAAATGGCTTTCGTTTGGGTTGAGATTAGAAAATGACGAATCGTTTCTGTTTAGCTGGCTTGTCGATTTCGGTTTCTGGATAATTTGTATGTAGTTAGCAAAATATGCACGGATAGAAATCAGTTTCAGTTCACTCACCCTGGCCATGACTTGGGCTCTGATCCTTGCGCTCGGCTTTCTTGAGCCGGCCTCCATTGCGCGTCGCTCCATTGCGTGCAGCCATGGCTGGATGTGTACCCTCTGCCGCAGCTCGGATGGTAGCGATTCGATGCTTGGCTCTCTCATCGCCCTGGTCCGCTGCCTTGACATACCACACGTTCGACTCGAGAGGGTCACGACGGCAGCCAATACCCATTTCAGTAAAGTACCCGACGGCATACTGAGCCTTTGCGAGGCCGATATTCGCAGCCCGGAAAGCCCACTCATACGCCTCGTTCTCATCCTTCTCGAGCACAGGCTCCGCGCCAACAAGGTACCACGCACAAAGCGCCATCATCGCCACCGCGTGCCCGTTCTGCGCAGCACTGGTATAGAAATGGATACTGAGCGCTGGGTCGCGTGGACAATTCAATTTCCCATGCTCATACGCATCCCCAAGTCGATAGCAAGCCTCGACATGACCCAGCTCCGCAGATTTAGTGAATAGCTGCGCTGCATAAGTAGCGTCGGGGAAAACATCATCTCCGAAGCCCCTCTCGTGCATCACTCCGAGCTCGTACGGGCCGGAGTTATACTGCGTGTCTGCGGACTCGGTCGCGCGCTTCATCCACTTGACGCCCTCGCGGTACCGCTTGCCCAGGCCCATATCACCAGCAATACAGGCGTTGGCCATGCGCATCATGGCACCCGGGTGATTTTTCGACGCTGCTTGGCGGTAGAACTGGACTGCGCGGCTGCCATCGACACGACACCCCCAGCCGAACTCGTAGCACAGCGCTGTGCGGTAACAGGCTTCGACGTGGCCGTGTTTGCTGGCTGCGAGGAAGAGCGGGAAGGATCTGTCGTGGTCCTCGACGCCTTTGTTGAAGAGGCCTGACGCGTATCCATCGCCGAGATAGTACTGTGCGAAGGGGTAGCTGCGGTCTGCGAGGCGCTGGAGGATTGATTTTGATTCGCGGAGTAGGCGGGCGCGCGTGATCGGGCTGGAGTCTTCGATGTCCACGGCTGGCATCTCACGCATCGAGTTTACCATGAACACGGCGAATTCGTACAGCACTGTGGGCTCATCAGTTTTCTTTACGTTCGCTAGGTACATCTCGAATGTCTCTTTGTGGCTAAGCAGAGAGGCGTTGTTTCCGACTGAGGCTTGCAGACGCGAGTTGTCGAATTGCGCTGCTGTTGGGCCAGGCTGCGGGTATGATGTGTTGAGCAAATCGAGGAATGATAGGGACCTGTTTTCGGGGGTTCCAATAGAGTTTCGTGATGAGGATCGCGCTTGTAGATACGGCGATGCGGAGAGGTTCCGTCGGTGACCACCATCTGAGGCTGAGGAGTATGTCGAAAGAGGCCGCGACAACCTTGATCGCCTCACAGCCAGCTTATCCGTTGAGCCAGACGGGTTATCTCCAGCATTAGGTGCGGGTTTCCTTGCTGGTACCGACGAAGGTTGTTGCTGGTGGTGGTAGGTCAGAGGTTCGTAGCTATCCGAGACCTGCGCCACGCTATCCAAGCTTCCCCGCGAAGAGCTGTTGTAACTCTGACCCTCGCGCTCTAACGAGGAGCCACTCTTTTTCGGGTTTCCAGGTCCGTCATCTTTCTGCGGCTCTACCACCGACCATGAGCCGCTGCTGGCTGGGGTGTGACCGTACGGATGCGCGTGTGTGTAGTGCGGGGCCTGTGCCGAGTCTCGCCGCGGGGGATGGGTTGGATTCCAGCTCTGCTGAGGCGGCTGTACGGGGCTGTCGAGCGACATGTCTGTGAACTCGGGGATGTCCAATTGCGGCGTGGTCGGCCCACTGGATGCGCCTTCGATGCGCGCGCTCGAGGCATCGGGGATGTCTGCGCCATGTGCGATTTTGACTGGGGAGCGCGGTGAGTTTTGAAGGATGGGAGAGTTTTCCGACTGCACTGGGGGAACTGGTTTGCGGCTGAGGTTCAAGCTCTGGGGTCGGTTCGGGATGGTCCGTGGTGATTCGTGCGATGGGGTGAATGGAGGTGAGGATCGGAGGTAAGCGGGTGGGGGAGAAGGCAGGGCCTGGCGGTGACCCGGGGCAGGACTGGCCATGCTGGAGTGGTAGGGCGTATTAACGAAGGTGAAAAGCGAGCGGAAGTCCAAGATCCATGAAGAAAAGCGATTGATTTAGTACTTTATGGGGAATCCGAGTGTGGAGAAATGCGCGTTAAAAGAGTGGACACGACACTAACAGAGATATTTTCATCGAAGCAGATCAGCACATCAAAAGGGAAGAAGCGAGGGGAAGAGTAAAAAAGAAAAATAGGACCAACGATACTAACAATACTAACAATACTAGTTCCTTTCAAATCATCCTCTCTTTTCTTTTGTTTTATTTATTATCGGTTACGCTCTCAGCCTAATATGGTCAAGTGGGGATGAACTATTATTATGTCTCTAGCACATTCTCTCGTATAACCTGAAGCCCAAGAATCAAAAGGTGATGCCTACGGGTCTGAAAATAGGGCTTTCCGAGACATGCCAGAGCCTAACAGGTCTAACAGCACATAAGACATGCCTCTAGGGCTGTCTACTGTTATAAGGTACTGTAACTGTCAAATCCCCTCTTTCACTGTGGAGACGAGCACACCTCTAGGCATTTGCCGCTTCACTGTCTTTCTGTTTTTAGTCTGTCTTAGTAGTTCAGTAGCGTCTTTTGTGTCCTTAGCGTCCGACCTTTCCGGGGCTCTGTGCGTGGACATTATACGGGCATTTTCACCCGTACCTGAACTTAGAGGGTTCAATATTTAGTACTCCGTAGCTAACTCCTATTTGAAACAGAGGGGCTTGAGCGTAACTGAGAGAACATATTATCCCTATTGCCAGCCTTACAATTGAGTTTTATTCAATTCCTCCACATCATATCCATCTGTCAATGTATACTCCTTGCTGCGGTCAACCACACCGTCAAAGCACAGACAAAAGGCCACTCTCATCTCGTATGACGACATAACCAAGGCGACTCTCTTAAACTGATAGTACCAGGCATCCCTCGCAGTACTGGGTTCTGGCTACTCGGACTGGAAGCTTACTGTACTACGTCTGCTGATGCGGAGAGATTATCGACCTTGGAATCTTGGAAAGGTACCGTCAGCATTCCAGTAAGAGCCGAGAACGTGGGCCGACAAGGATACCGGACTCCACCGTAAAGATCTCCCAGCAAATCCGAAGCCAAGTCTGTTTCTCAACTGGGTTATATTCGAATGGGAAGGGGGGGAAATTGTCTAGATGTGATATATTCCTTTGGCCAAGAATGTCAATGGGAAAAGATATGGTCTTCGAATTCGAGATGGAATAGTGCATATGCACTATGGGACCCATGTATGGAGTATGGATTCTGGGGATTGCCGTGAGGATCGGCGGTCAGTTGTCGATCATATTGGTCGGATTGGCATTGGGGTCTGGAATAGATAGTACAGGGTTATCCTGGGTTTTCATATCACTGATCTTGGACTTGTGTCAAGTGCTATTGCACGTAGTATGCTCTGGCTAGAACCTAGACTGGTAGTACAAATCCTTGGTGTTTTGTCCAGGGTCCATACATATAAGGCGTACATTATTATATCCCCCAAGTCCTTCGAATCTACACAATCTTGTTCTTGGTATGAGCTCTGCTCTGTCTTTAAATAGTAGTAAAGCGGCTTACCAGTTTTCACAGGGGTTAGGGGATGGATTAAGAGGATGGGAAGCTTAATCTTTCTTTTATTCTTTCTTTTCTTCTCTTCTTGGACTATTAATCCAAGAATCGGAGTTTGTGTAACAAAGTGGCAATTGGCTATTTAGCGTGGCAGTTAACCGACTAAACCACCAAGACCAGCACTAAGCAGAACTAAGCATAAACCGTCTTGGCTCAAAATAGAAAGGACCCCGTGATCAAACAATGTCGGCTGTTGTTTCCCTCATTCTATTTATGTGAACCTTGGAAGAGTCCTGGTTGACCGTGGAAATGAGTGATTTAATTTAATGTGATTGGAGGGTATTGCCCCTCGCGACAAAGAAATAGATTATTTATTTTGTTTTGTCTCTTAGTGTTGTAAAACAAGCCTAACCTCTCCTAGGCCACCCCGTGTACAGGGTCTTTGTCTCAGAATCTCCCTTTTCCCTTTAAACACATTTGTTGCTACATAACTTATTACTACCACTACATTCGCTCTCTGTGTTTTAAACCTTTCCATTTCTTGCATAGGTGGGGACTTTGTTTATTCTCCACCTCGTTGCACAGGCCGACCGTACCACTTTCGCCGAGAACTCCCAAATCTGCAACTTTAGCTGCTGGTCAATATAGAGATCGAAAGAGAATCGAAAAATATTTGAACGGGAATGCGAGTACCATAGGTCGCATTATCGAGGATCGGGTCAGCGCATTTGACATGTTTCAGTCGGCAAACGACAGATCCATATTGTGAACAATCTTCTCCACACAACCTGCTGCTGATGAGCGGCAAGTAACCAACGTGAGTGCGCCAACTGGAAATCCAATCCAGGGTCGACTGACATCGGACGTTTGTAGGAGCGAGATGTCTTTGCCGCAGAGGCCAGGCAAGCCCTCACCTCGGCGTGAAGAAGCCCGCGCATTTCGCGAACCCTCCCAGCGCCGTCGACGGGATATCGACTCGGGTACTTACAGCGACGATCCCACGTCCCACCGACACCGCCGCCGACATTCCAGCCACCGAAGAGCAATGGACACGGACGAAGAGCGCATGGAGCGGGGCGGGGAGGTGAGACACAAAAAGCGCATGGTCAAACCAGAGCGCAGAAAAGACGACCGTGAGCAACCCAATTATCACTACCGTCAGCGATCAAACCACATGCCCACTTTCCCCTCGTCGACGGGAAACGATCCGTTGTTGGACAACAGAGATGGCGAGGCGGAGACGAACAGCTCGCGCAGCATGGATATGAAGAGCAAGGATGGTCTATATGGTGCGCGGGGTAACGTCAACAAGCCCATGGAGCGGGTTCCTAGCAGGCATCGCTCGAAGAAGAAGAAGAAGAGAGGCTCGCGGAGGTCGTCGAAGGGAGCTGCAGATGAACATAGACGCCAGAAGGCTATTCAGCAAAGCGGCCCGCCCGAGTTGTGGCCAACATATTGCGCAGTGCTCACATTCTTCATTCCGGACTTTGTGCTGAAATGCTTCGGAATGCCACAGAAAGAGCAGCGCAGTGCTTGGCGGGAGAAGATCGGCCTTATCAGCATCATTCTGATGATCGGCGCGTTTGTCGGTTTCCTGACGTTCGGTTTCACGGCTACGGTTTGTGGCTCGCCCCCGGTTCGGTTGAAGGTTAACGAAGTCAATTCCAACTACATGATCTTCCATGGAAAGGCATATAATTTGGCCGCTTCCACACACCCCGCTGTCCCTGGTATCCCCGATGGTTCGAATGTTATCTACGACTTGCCACACAAGTATGGCGGACAGGATGGCAGCTTCTTCTTCCAGCAGGTCAACGGGGCGTGCAAAGGACTGATTACTGCCCAGCCTGATGGGGATATTCCAACCAACTCCGCTGGAGATCTCGGATGGTACTTCCCCTGTGCGCCCTTCAATCAGGATGGTTCGTCCTCACCGAATTTGACCATTGAATATTACACGGGCTGGGCTTGCCATACTAGCAAGGCGGCCCGTGAGCCTTTCTACTCGCTGAACAGTGATGGGGATGTGTACTACACATGGGAGGATACGAAGAACAAGAGTCGAAATCTGGCGATATACTCCGGAAATGTGCTCGATCTTGACCTTCTCCGCTGGTTCGACCGTAGCCAGGTGTCCTATCCCGAAAAATTCGACGAGCTCCGCAAGAACCCTCATGTCCGCGGTGTTGATCTTACTTACTACCTGCAAAGCGGGGAGGAGAAGAAGATTGGCAAGTGCTTGGCGCAGATTATCAAAGTCGGCAGCATCGACACTGATACCGTTGGCTGTATCGCGTCGAAAGTCGTGCTGTACGTGTCCCTGATCTTCATTCTCTCCATCGTAGGTGTCAAGTTCGGTTTCGCCCTGCTCTTCCAGTGGTTCCTGGCACCCCGGTTTGCCGCGCAGAGTACGAGTATGGCCTCCGACGCCAGGACTCGCAATCAACAGATTGAAGACTGGTCCAACGACATTTATCGGCCCGCTCCGCGCATGGCCGAACCCATCATCCCGGATCGCCTCAGCAAACGCGCCAGTTTCCTCCCGACCACGTCCCGTTTCTCGAGCCCGTACAATGTGAACAGCAGCACTGGTAGCAAGCAAAAGCCGATGTATGTCACGATGGCTAGCCAGAACTCGACTTCTCGTCTCATGCCCAGCTCCAACCCCGGCACTATGTACAAGTTAAGCCACAGTGGTAGTGGGGGCACTCTGAGCGCTGACAACTCTCGGCATAATCCTGCTGCCAGTCGGACTAGCTTGGTTCCTCCCAGTCAGGGTCAGCAAGATCCGGGCTATGCCACACTATCGACCGATCACGAGGGGCTGGGTCCTGCTGGTTTCATTCACGAGGCTGTCGTTCCTCAGCCTCCACCTGAATGGCAGCCATTCGGCTACCCTCTAGCTCATAGTCTTTGTCTGATTACTTGTTACTCTGAAGGTGAAGAGGGTATCAGGTCGACTATTGATTCTATTGCCATGACCGATTACCCAAACAGCCACAAAACGATCTTGGTTATCTGTGATGGTATTATCAAGGGTAAGGGAGAAGAATTCTCCACCCCAGATATTGTATTGGGCATGCTCAAGGACCCTGTTGTTCCCAAGGACGAGGTCGAGCCCTACTCCTACGTGGCTGTGGCTACTGGCTCCAAGCGACACAACATGGCCAAGGTCTACACTGGGTTCTACGACTACGGCGATACTTCGATCATCCCGGCAGAGAAGCAGCAGCGTGTTCCCATGATGGTGATTGTCAAGTGCGGAACTCCCCAGGAGTCGACCCAGTCAAAGCCTGGTAACCGAGGCAAGCGAGACAGTCAGATCATTCTCATGTCCTTCCTCCAGAAGGTTATGTTCGACGAGCGCATGACGGAACTCGAATTCGAGATGTTTAATGGAATGTGGAATGTCACAGGCATCGCGCCGGACTTCTACGAGGTTGTTCTTATGGTCGACGCCGATACAAAGGTGTTCCCTGACAGCTTGACCCACATGGTCTCGGCCATGGTGAAGGACCCAGAAATCATGGGTCTCTGTGGAGAGACTAAGATCGCCAACAAAACTGACAGCTGGGTAACAATGATCCAGGTCTTCGAGTAAGCTCTCCACCGTTTTATGGTGTAACCAGCATAGTAACTAATTCTTGATAGGTACTTCATCTCTCACCACCAAGCCAAATCATTCGAATCCGTCTTCGGTGGTGTAACCTGTCTGCCTGGATGTTTCACCATGTACCGAATCAAAGCCCCCAAGGGCGGCCAGAACTATTGGGTACCCATTCTCGCAAACCCAGACATCGTCGAACACTACTCCGAAAATGTCGTCGACACCCTGCACAAGAAGAACCTACTCCTTCTTGGCGAAGATCGCTACCTCACCACCCTGATGCTCAAGACCTTCCCGAAACGCAAGCAGATCTTCGTCCCGCAAGCCGTCTGCAAGACAGTCGTGCCGGACGCATTCCTAGTCCTGCTCTCCCAGCGCCGTCGCTGGATCAACAGTACTGTCCACAATCTATTCGAACTCGTCCTCGTCCGCGACCTGTGCGGAACCTTCTGCTTCAGCATGCAGTTCGTGATCTTCATCGAGCTTGTCGGAACCCTCGTTCTGCCTGCCGCCATCTCCTTCACCATCTACGTCGTCGTCGTCTCTATCGTCAAGAAACCCGTCCAGGTTATCCCGCTGGTTCTGCTCGCCCTAGTCCTGGGTCTGCCAGGTGTTTTGATTGTCGTCACAGCACACAGACTCGTCTACGTGCTCTGGATGTTGATTTACCTCATCTCGCTTCCGATCTGGAACTTCGTTCTACCCATGTATGCGTTCTGGAAGTTTGATGACTTCAGTTGGGGTGATACCCGTAAGACTGCGGGCGAGAAGGATAAGGGACACGGTGATGCCGAGGGTGAGTTTGATAGTACGAAGATCACGATGAAGAGGTGGCGTGATTTCGAAAAAGGTATGTTTCCTCTTCTTGAATTCGCTTGATGGGTGTGTCCTAACATTTTCTCAGAACGCCGCCTACGCAGTGCCTGGTCACAGCCCCATGCTTCGACGGATCCTTATCCGTCGCAGTACGAGACATATTCGCATTATTGACGAAAGCGATAGCGATAGCGCTTGTTCTCTTTCTTTTTCTTCTTCGCTTTTATCTATGTTTCTGGATGTACATGATTTATTGTACTATTTACATACCGGCGTTCAGACATTCTCATAATATAGTTCAGAGCGGGCGTTGCACGACTGACGAGTTGATTATTTTCACGAGTGCTCATATTTTGATACATTATTCTTCTTATTTTTCTTGTTTTCCCCTGTCTATTTCAAACATTTTACTCTGTCTTGTACAGTGATTTGGATCGGGGGTTGCCCTTGTGTTGATAGTGAATAAATCGCCATATTAATCGATATGGCGTAATTGAAATAGCATGATGAATCTGTACAGTAACATGAACTATCAGATTGCGACTTTTCACAGGTCACTTCAGCCCAAGCCGTGCCCAACAGGATCAAAGCGCGGGTCACCGGGCTTGGGATCTGCATTATATACTTGCATTATTTACATATGCGAGGCTCGAATCTATTAGATGGCTTTGGAATTTTAGATCCTTGAATATCTGACCTTCTAAAATTATAAATGAACACTCGAAATGAATGGAGATACAAGGCTGAACTGAATCCTTGCATTCTACCTAGGTATATATACGTGTCATATTTTGTATTATTTTCTTTTTTTTATCTCCGCCAGAAAAAGCGGAGAATGTCAACTCTCACGTTTCCCCCCACGTTCGCATCTTACTGCATGAGAGTGTCATTTATATCTCTCTTTCGTCCATTTCTGTCATTCCTTGCATCTCGGAAAAGTCTTTGGATCAGCCCACAGAACTCGTTTCATATCCCACTAGTAGCTCATAGTCGATCACAAGACATAGCCGATTACAAGATTACAAGATTACTCTGTGATTTAATCTCATCTTTTCTTTGCAATCCGGCTTCTCTTAACAACCTTGAACTCCCCTCGGTTGAACTCGGCATTTCTGTCTCGCCCGCTCTCCGCTCTCCGCTCTCCGCCTTTCCCTGCGTGCCTTGCGTTGAAACACGGCTTGGAAACCAACGCCTGCAGTGTGGGGTTGAACTCTCCGAGAATCCCTGCAGCAAAGGACCTGTGTGAATCCCAGAAAGTGTTACTGTAGGTAAACTGGTTCTGGCTTCTGATTACTGGATTGTTTTCCTCCGCCTGTGCGACCGCCACCTGTCATCCCTGCCCATTTGACCCTTTTGGGACGTGATCATCTGTCCCGCCTTGCTGCACGTTGGCTTGCAACAGGCAACGAACACTAAGACTCTGGTTTCGAGGTACAACTTATCAGTTTTCGAGTCAGATGCCCATGGCGGGCGATGCTTCATTCCAGCAACTGTAGGTCTGCGAATCGTCCCTCCGACTTCCCTGCCCGCTTGCGAGATCCCGCATCGCGCCATGTGTCATGTGATATCGATGGTCCTTCAGTTCCCCGAGTCATGAATCCTTCTCCGCATTCTAGTAATGGGCTGTCTGGTCGGGAAGACGATGCGACGGCCTTGAACTCGACTCTCGATTCGGCTACCGATCGATTTGCTTCGCCTTCGCCTACGAATATGACTTCCGAGATCGATCGGCGTTTACATGACGTGGGCGTTGCAGCTCTTGCTGCTGTGTCCCAATACCCACGTGCGGTGGATAATGCGCACGGTGATTCTCTTATGGTGTCGGAAGTCGTCAATGCTGTTACCGGTGCTGGCGGTCCTCCGGATTATCGAAATTTGGACTCGGGGGGTTCTTTGCTGACAGGACACCGGGGTCATTTTCAACAATCTGGAATGGGAGGTACCCCTTCCGCTGGACCGGAGTTGGTCTTTGGCTCGAACCCGAGTGGCAATGTGGATATGGAAACGATTGTCCGGGACTTGATTCACCACACCGCCGGCCGGCAAGATATCGCCATCGCCCCAGACAGTGAGCTCGAGGATAGTCAGAAGGACATGGTTACGGATTACGAGTCTGCTACCATGGAAGACAAGCCGTCGCCCTCGTCAACGTCCGATGATGAGCTTGAAGACTTTCTCCGATTCTATCCGGACGAAGAGGAGTATTACTACCAGCGCAAGGAACGCCCGACGCATGAAGCCGAAATGGCAGACTGCGATCTGGATGATTTTTATAACAGTATCAGTTATGACGATATCGATGTGGATCTACCCCAAACTATCGGTTTGTCTATTACAGAACCGCTTGGGAACTACACCGACGATCAAATGGAATTCCCTGGACCACATCCCGCATCTATAATCCACACATCCAGTAAGGCACTATGACTTCTGACACAAGAGCCTAGCTAATTGCCTTCTAGCATACGAGCGGAATCTCACTATCGATGAATTCATCCAGCGTTGGATGGTCTCAATAAATGTCATTCCCCAGGGCTTCCATTCTGAAAGTCGAATTCCACCACAGCTCCGCCCACTCTCCAAGATGATTAGCTGGAAGCCGCCGCAGGAGGTTGTTCGGCCGTCTGGATGGAGACGCGATTTCTATGATCTGCAGCAGATCCCATGGACAGAAACTTTGCGAGTGACACGATCCGATGCACGAGCCGTGCGCGACGCCTGGTATACTTCGTATCACAACTTGGATTACTCGCACCTCGGTCATGCCAAGCGGCTTCCACAACGAGAAACATTTTTCCGCGAGAGCTCCATGCACACTTCACACAAAGCATCTATCGAGCACTTCCAGCTTCGAAATTTGATGTCGACTCCTGCATCTAACACCGTACATTTCGCCTCCAGGTCGAAAGTGTTTGCCTGGACCCCAAACACCGGCGACGCACGGTGTATACTCGATATGAGCCAGCCAGACCCAGAGTCAGGCTTCCTCGGACCAGTCAAAATCTCCACCATGAAGACAGCCCACGGTCTCGCAATCGCGGGCGGGTTCTGCGGCGAATACGCCCTACGCAGCACCAGTGGATCCAGCACCGGCATAAAGGGTCTAGTAACCCCCGACTTCAACGACGGCATCACCAACCACGTTGACATAATCCCCAGCCGCACTGGGCCCTCCCCAACCGGCGTCTTCGCCTCCAACGACAAGCACCTCCGCATCCTTGACACAGAAACCAATATCTTCGTCTCCGACCAAGAACTCTCCCAACCAATAAACTGCACCGCCACATCCCCCGACAGCCGTCTACGCGTGGTAATCGGCGACTCACCAGACGCATGGGTCATCGAATCCGACACAGGCCGACCTGTCCACCCTCTCCGCGGCCACCGCGACTTCGGCTTCGCTTGCGCCTGGTCCCCCGACATGCGCCACATAGCAACCTCCAACCAAGACAAAACAGTCATCATCTGGGACGCGCGCACCTGGCGTCCACTTGAAACCATCGACTCCGACGTCGCGGGCTACCGCTCGCTACGATTCTCCCCTGTCGGCGGCGGCCCACGCACTCTGCTCTGCACCGAGCCTGCGGATCGGATTTCTATCGTCGATGCGCAGCTCTTCCGCTCGCGCCAGGTGCATGATTTCTTTGGTGAAATTGGTGGGGCGGATTACGCGCCTGACGGCGCAGAGATCTGGGTTGCTAATACGGATCGCCATTTCGGTGGGTTTATGCAGTATGAGCGGAGACAGTGGGGGCAACGGGTTGGGTTGACGGACTTCCCGTGTGAGTGGGTTACGGAGGAGGAGTTGGGGGTGGATTCTAGGTGTGTTTTGAGTAGGAGGGAGAGGGGGTTGAGGTTTTTGAGGAATCTGTCAGATGAGGAGCATGATGAGTTGATTCTTTGATTTGTCTCTTTTGTGGGATGACCGTCTTGTCTGTTAGTCTGTTGTTTTTTGTTGGTTTCTCTGTTTTTCTTTCTTTCTTGGGTTGGTATTCTTTGCGCCTTTTCATCTGCATCTGATACCCTGGGCAACGGCGTTGCATGTTCTTTGTATTCTTTTCTTTTGTTTTTAGAGTATTGAATGTTGATTCGCAGCGAACAAATAGCCCAATATGTTGTCGGCTGGTCTCGATAACGTCTTATACTTGGATCCCTCAACTTCAATGTTGACAGTACAGGTGTCTTCCCAACCCACTCCGAGTCTCAGCTAATTACCTGATCACATACCCAAGCCGCCGAACTAGCTCTAGACAAAAACATCACATCCCTACCAGATCCCGTATACGAAGCCGGACCGACCGGTGTCTCAGGATCATCGGTCAAAAACGGCGCTCTGAACAACGCACATTTGATGCGCTCGACATCCTGCGATGCCACAAATGCACGGAGCCCATTAAACTCATCATACGCAGACCCGCCTATTAGTTTGATTAATATACTCGACGCTTTCCATTTAAAGAAGCTCTACGATGGGTCTAGCGACTACTTTCATTGCACATGAAAGGAAAAGAAAAACTCACAGTTACAACTTGACAACTTGCGGCAAACATAAAAGCCCCTATTCTTATATCGGTAGAGGCCAACAAAATTATGGACCCCGGAGCGGAGGCTATAAGAGGGCCCAGAACTCCGAACTAGATTGAAACGCACTGCCTCGTAGGGAATCAATCGGGGTTCTTCAACTCGATTGACTCGCCGCCCAGTCTTCGTCGGCCTTCATTAAAATGTTTAAAGTAGATGCCCATCTGCCTTGTGCGGATGAATCCGGGTCACGGGGCAGCATAGCCTGTTCTTTTGCATATGATATAGGCGTTCTACCATATTCATCATGATCATGCAGGCCCAGTGAATCGCTCTCTCGCAGAAGATCAATGATTGGTTGTCTTATTGACCCATGTCTTGCTCCGTAATGAAGTATGCCCCTGTTGTTCAAGTCTTTGGTAGTGATATCAACCGCAAAATCTTTCAGGGTCGAGAGAACTTGATCAGGCGAAATAAAAGAAGAAGAAAGCATTGATATATGAGCCAGGTTTCTTCCCACATGATCAGACCACAAAGGACAAGCCCCGCGAGTTAACAGGAATGGGCAAATTGCCGCTGGTTTTATCAAATGAGATGTTCGCAGAAAGAGACTGAGAGGAGAATTGCCATCTTCGTCAATGCCATTGATATCCACGCCATGTTCTAGAAGGATGCGAATTATCTCTTCGGAGCACACTTCAGTTTGGACGTGGTAATGTAACAAATTCTTGCCTGTGCTGTCTGTTTGAAGACAAGGATTCGATCCAATCAAGTTGTGGTATTTCAATATGAGTTCAAGAACAACTACCGAGGATTTCTCGGAGCGAACAGCGTATTGAAGGGGACTAAGTCCTTCAGAATCTAGGACATCAACAGATGCCCCTGCAGCAAGAAGCTCTTGAACAATCTTGGCCTCTCCTGCACCACTGGCAAGATGTAACGGTGTTTGTCCTTTATTGTTGCGAATGGAGATATCGGGCTTTTTACTCATTAGCCTTGAGAAAGACCTCAGTGAGTTGCTTTCGCCACAGATAGCTAAATGCAAGGCTGCTTGCATTTGATCATTTTGCACATCAACGTCAATGTTGATGTGCGAGAGAAGATTGTCAATCACAGCTGTCCGTACTTCAGAAATGCTGCGGCGCGTTTCGTCGGCTTCTTCACTTGCAGGGTCAACTAGGTCACTGAGAATCTCAATTCGCCATGAGATTTGGTTCCAGGAATCGCCGTAATCCAGAGTTATATCTCCTCGGATGGCGAGATGCAACGGTGTCTCGCCGTCTTGGCAGCGCTTATTGGGGTCAGCGCCTTTAGAGAGAAGATATTCTACCATTGCCGGGTGGCCTATAAGTGCTGCCCAGTGCAGCGGGGTAAGGCCGTCGCCCACTTTCTTGGACTTTCGGTCTTCAGGCAAAGGTTCATAACCCCATTGGCCAGCTTCCTTCGTTCGAACCCAGCGTCTTCTCGCGATGCCCGTGTTGACACATACCCCTGCTCGGATGAACATTTCGGCCATTTCTTCGGATCCGTTGCGGATGGCGTAATAGAATGGTGTCATGTTTTCCACATCGCATATCTCGTGACAAGCACCCCTGGACAGAAGCAGACTGGTTATATGAATACTGCACCTTCCAGTAATGGCTGATAAATGCAAAGCGCTGCGATGCATATAGTCCACAGCCTCGATTGAAGCACCGAGTCCTATGAGCTGTTGAACTGATTGGAAATTCGTCTCACGTACTGCTGCAAGAAGAGGTGTCTGACCATGAATATCCGCATGCTCCATGTCCGCCTTATAGTCCACAAGCACTTGGATCAGACGCGAGTCTCCTTGGATAGCAGCGTAATGCAAAGCTGTTTTTCCTTCCTTGTTCGCCCAGTTGGCATCCAGACCCTTTTTCAATAGCAGTTCGGCTGTACCTGCCTGTCCATTTTTGGCGGCCCAGTGCAACGCAGTTTGGCCATCGCTATCCTTCATATCACAAGGCATACCATTTGTGAGAAGCCGGATAACGCATTCTTCAAGGCCGAAGTACGCTGCCAAGTGAAGGCCTGACGTTTGTGTTTTCCCCGAATATCGCATGTTATTGCCACCTATCAGTGCCTGACTTGCTGCCTCTACCTTTGCCTCGCACTCGAGAAAGCCCATCACTTCTGCACATAGAGTCGATGCCTCGCGAGCATGGTGTCCCCAATGACTTGCGGAATAGTGGTAGAGTTTGTTTAGCCATAGCCGTCTATCAAATTCATCCCGTGTTTGACAAGGTCCGCTCTCGAACGAGCGGAGTAAGAGGTAAGATACGCAAGTTTGGGTTATTTCAGCTTCTGCCTCCGGAAACCAACGATTCCGTCTTCGATCGAAGTATTCTTGTGTCGTATAATGGTATAACCGGATGATATCGCTCTCTTCATCAATCGTCACTAATCCGGCGCAGGCAGAGAGTATGTCGGCAACTCGCGGCATGTTCTGCCTGTCAAATTCAGATTTGTTGGCTTCTACTGTTAAAGCGTGCTGCAGCTCTAAGACGGAAAGCTGCCTTCTTGCACAAGTAATCCATGATAGATCCTGCCCTGCTAACTCTCGCCAGGCCTCTGCTTGCTTCTTAATTCTTTTCATGGCCTTATCATATGTGCGGTCATACGCATCAGATCCTCTGGGAAGTTTTTCCAGGGAATCATGAACAGCCTTCGGCGATTTTTTTCCGACTAAGGAATGTAAGTGAAGCCGTGCAAGTAAGAACCTGGTTGAAAATATCAGTACAATCTCGAAGGCGGAAGGGGAAAAGCCCTTTTACATTCCATCAACTGCCCTAATGATTTCAGTTTTGATCTCATCTTGCAATCTCGGGCTTTCCAGGACAAACCCTGGCAGCTTAGTCATATTACTATCGAGATACTTGCGAATATCCCCTTCCGATGCTGAGATCCGTTTTGAAATGCATCCCTCGAACTTCCCTTCAATCACTGGGATGGGTCTAGAAGTGGCAAACAAGCTTGTCATGGTTTGACTTTGTAGGGTGAACATTTTGGACAAGAATGTTGAAAGGCACTCATCCTTATTAGATGCTTGGCATTCATCCAGCGCGTCAACAATAATGAAGACTCTTGAGTACATACTCGCCACGGACAGGAGAGTCTTCCAGATTTCTTCGAGCGATGGTCTTGTCTTTTTGCGTTTATGCTTGGTATGAAGACTGCCAATGCTATCTGGTAGAGAAGGCCAGTCTTGGCTCAGTTGCTTCACAAGACTTGCGAGTAGGTCTTCAATTTTCTGCTCGCTTCGCCGGCTTAATTTGCAGTACAGGTATGCAATCCCAATCGTCTGGTCGTTAAGAAACTCCGTGCTGAGATCGTCAATCACCGTTGAGACCAGGATTGTTTTTCCTGCCCCGGGAATGCCAGGACAGAACAAAGTCTGCTTGCTGGAGCTTCGCCAGTTCTGGTACTCTTTGGAATTTAAGAACCATTGGCCAGTTCCCTGTTGCCACCTTCTTAGGACGTCGCTATGCTGAGGACCGTAGTCGATTGCTGTGAGCCAATCGAGAACCTCAACGTCTGACTTTCTGTCCCACCTAGACCTCATTGCTTCAATATTGACCTCGGCTCTCTGAACAGTTTCAATGACTGGAAATTTATTAGAATGCTTTTTTAAATATGGCAATTCAACCGGAAGCACTAACCATCGCCCAGAATGTCCTTCACGGGGCGCTCTCCGTCGACATCACTCGCCTGTACATGCTCAAGAAGTTCCTTCGCGCACGCTGCAGCTACAGCTGCGGCATATTCCTGCCAATCTTTGGTTTTTTGGGAGTTGGCGTAATCACAGATTCCCCGGATGGTGATGCAGGGGAAGTCATTCATCAGGCCTGCCGCCTCCATTTCGACACATAAGACGTTTCCACCGAGACTCTGATCCAGCCTGTCACGAAACTTGGCATCCTTGATCACCTGGTTACCACTTGCGATTAGACCGTAATGCACGCGCACGTCTCCCGGCTTCCTCTGAAAGTTATCCAACTCAATATTCACTGTGCTTATCATTGGCTCTGCCGCCAAAGCCGCAGCAAAAGCCCACCATCCTAAGAGGTACCTTAAAATATCCCCAGTAATCTTCCACAGCAGTGAAAATATAGCTTGCCATCTCAGAGGACGATAGGGACTCTCTTGGGTGGATAACGGGTCCTTGAGGGAATCAGACCAGGTATATTTTGACATCAGGTTTGGATAAGTTTTTCCGAAGTCATCAAGGTATTGACGTATCTGAGATCCATGCATCTCATGCTTGGTCTCAAGTTTCGTTAATGCCGTTAGCAGTGCGTTTGGCGGATTGTTCAGCGCGCCAGTCCGTTTGAAACTGCCACCAGCTTGCGCCTTGCCCATATCCCACTGGACAACTCCAGGAAACTCATCTATAGGTGCACTAATCACAACATCTCCAAGTCTAACTTTAGTTGGAATACCGCCGCCGACACCAACCATGAGACCGAATTTAATGGATGGGAAAGTGCTAATCATCCGAGTTGCAGCAGACGATGCTGAATTATTGCCATACTTGCCTTTCGGTAAGCAGGTTATGACAATGTTGTGGCTCCCAATGGATCCCAAGGTGTATGTGTTGTGGTCACCTGACGGCTTCGGTAGGTCAGGATGTATTCTATCAAGCATCGCCGTTGCTGCAGTTTGCTCTTTCGGTAGTGCGCAGACCCATCCCACGTTGTAGTGATTATGGGTCAGCTCTAACGATGGAGACCTGCGGTCCGCGTTGCTTTTCTTCATCTTGCTAGACACGAGCTCTTCGTCCTCATAACTTTGTAGGTATCTCCCCGATATGTCCGAGTGTTTTAGAATGTTACGAGCTCGGAGAAGACAGTAAGCAGCTCGTTTGTCGCGAGAACTCGGTACGTTTATCGGCGTGTATAGGTATCAGCTCAGTGGGAAGCGTTTTGGGGGATTTTTAGGAGAGTCGGGTTGCTCCAAAAGAAAGCAGGCGTATAGTGTTCCGACGCAGAAAGAGACCTTTACTCCAATTAATAGAGAGCGGCGTAAACTGCGAGGTAAATGAAAGGGAAAAACCGATGTAATTACATTGGAATCTAGATATCGCTGCTGATCACCCGCTTAGGCGACAATCTGGCGGATGTTGGGCACAGATACAGCTAAGCTAGAGCAGGTTAGCACGGTTTCTGTTTATAGCCTTTAAAGCCTATCGAGCTCATCGGGAAGAACGAATCGCTTGCTTTTGCTTCGGTCACATCCTGTTAGAAGAATGTGGTAACTATCGGCCGGAGGACATTGCTTGACACAACTTGGTCAGCTCTGCAAGGCGCCAGGGACTATTATCCCCTATACATTTATTGCAGCTTTAGGATATATAACACGCCGTCCGATCGACTGACATTCAGGGAAAATAACTTCATTCCCACGTATTTCTGCGTGTTTTAGATTATCTCATTTCCGTAGGAAATGTACCTAGGTAGGTCAATGAAGTTCAGCTGTCCTAGAGACAAATTTTTGCGCGTCTCATCTTAGTGGAGCATATACTTCGGAAGAGAGGATAACTCAAAGTCGCACCTAGAGTAATCACATACTCGGCCCTCGAGAAAGGTCTTTGGTAACCTACGGGTCCTGAAATGTCGCTGTAGCGCGTCCTCTCGATAGGATGAGTGCCTCCGCACTCTCGGATCGATATTAGAGCGTCACATCCTAAGCACACTAGACACTTAAGACTAGTACTATTAAGTAGCGCATCCGATTAATAGACAAAACTGTTCTAATCGAAATCACGTGTACGCTTTATCGGAGGCATTTTAGGAAAACGAAGAGACCGATAAGTTAAGTCTAGGGTAAAGGTGTTTTCGATAAGAGGCTTAGATCTAGAGAAGGGAAATAAAGAGGGAATGGCCTTCTTTATCGCCGACTCCTGATATACGCGCTATGCTCATATTCTCAAGTTGGTATAGTTCGGTGTATGCTAAGTAAAATTTCACATTTCGCCTAACTAGGTAGGGATATTAGAGAGCACTAACATACTCGCTCGCGTGAAAACACCGCGGTTTTAGGACCCAAAGACCAGGCACAATCCTGTCCTTTTCGTCGTCCCCAAGACTTGCTCCGTAGTTCCTCCATATAAACTCCGAATTGTCGCCTAAGCCACACCAAACCCAGCCACAGTCAATCGTCACTCAAAACAAACTTGGAACCAATCAACAAGCCCGCTCGTCAATGATTGGCCATCTCAGCCACCTCAGCCACGATCCACCCCATCCGATCGAACAACACATCACCCAAATCGGCAAGAGATCAACAAAAACAGCCCCGCAACCCCTCCTCGTCTAACCTGAGCTGAAGCTCTTCCATTCCATCCTGTTCTTTCCGTTCTCCTATTAAATCCAGAGCAGATCCCATTTCCATCTTCTTATAAAACCAACCACTCTATCTTTATCTCACTCTTCCTCTCCTCCTACTTCCTCCAACCCCAATCCAACCATGTCTTACCGCGATAACCAGCAATACGGCGGCGGCGGTGCCAGCAACAGCTACTACTACAACAACGAGGACTTCTCCGACCGTAACAACCATAACAACAATAACTCCTACGGTGGATCCAGCGGAGGCTATGGCAACTCCTCTAACGAGAGCTACGGCAACCAAAACCCGGGTAACTACGGCCGCGAGGAATCCCACAGCAGTGGAGGCTACGGCAACGACAACAACAACTCCTCCTCCAACCAGCACTCCTCGTCCAACTACAACAACAACGACGACTTCAGCAGCGCGGCCTCGCACGCACAGGAACATCACAGCAACGAAGACAAGTCCCTGTTTAGCAGCGCTCTGGAATTCCTCAAAGACCGCAAGAGCGACGACCACGACGTCGACGAGCAGCATGCGGCTAATGCCCACCAGGCCATGTACGGCTCCGGCTCATCGAACCAGCAGCATGATTCCAACACTGTTGGTGCGGGCGCTGCTATGGAGGCTTTGAAGATGTTTGCTGGTAGCAGTGGGAACAGTGGTAGCAGTGATGGTGGTATGGATAAGAATAAGCTTATTGGGCTTGCTATGGCTCAGGCTGGGAAGTTGTGGGATGAGAAGAATGGTTCTGGGGGTAATGTGGTATGTTATTACTGTTCTTGTCCATGTTCTTGTTTTGGTTCGGGGTGATGAGGTGCTAATGTTGTTTATAGTCCGGTGATAAGCAGTCTGCTGTTAACTCTGCTGCGGAGATGGCGCTTAAGATGTATATGAAGAATCAGATGCAGGGTGGTGGGTCTGGTGGTGCTGGTGGGCTTATGAGTCTTGCCAGCAAGTTCTTGTAAATGTCTCTGGTCGTTGCGTGTGTACTAGATAATGTCTGGCACTTGGACCTTTGTCTTTCCATTTTAGTACTATTGTCGCTTTTTGAGGAACAAAGAATTCATGGAATCGACGAAGAAAAGACAACAGTATATAGCGTACCGGATTGCTTGGAGTGTATTACTTTCGGTCTGATTGGCGTCTTTTGGAACAGCGCTGTTAGGGTTGCGTTGCGTTGCCGCGGAGTGTATTCTATTTCACTTCGAGATCCTGTCCTGCCGACTCTTAATTTTAAGAATCGGTATTGACTTTCGTTATACTCCACGAGGGCAGGATACATGAGGAATTCGCGGAAGACATATGAAGCCTGTTCATAAGATTACTTAGACTTGGGTATTCTCCAACCCTTTCAACCCTACAAGCCCATTTCCCAATAATACCGCGTACACCTCAGCTCACTCCGCTCTATTCTAAATATGCCTCAATCTGTCTCGGCCGACGGTGCCGGTGAAGAAGTTCTTAAGATAATGGAAGAGCCAATTGATGACCTATCGCATTAGTGCTGGATAAGAGAAGTACTAATTTCAGGGATGACATACAAAATATCCCAAAGGGATGCAAGTTATGCATTGAGCTTATCCCCATTTTTATGGCATAAACCACTTCCGTCTCAACCGGCAATATAGATCTGCAGCAACACGTAGATTAATCCCAATGGGATGTTGAACGTGATTTTATCGCTCATAGTGTCAAGTATTACTGCGATCATAACTATGCAGGAAAAAGCTTGCACAATTCAAAAAGAAAATGGCAACGAGGTCGAGTTTTTGATATATAATGCTACAGGCCTTCTCTGCTATCCTGTCATTCCAATATATTCCCTTTGACCCAGAAGAGCATTCCCGTGATACAAGATGCTCCTTCAATCCGCTTCAAGTTTGATTCATGAACCCTACATTTCGACCATAGCCACTTCGGTACGCTTAGTACTTTCTTTCTGTTAAGCCGGTCTCGCTAACGTGCTCTGGTTAGCTTATACTGATATTGGTCTCACGGGTATACTACCAGCTCTTCGTCAATGCCCTTGGCAAATATCCCGGACCAAAGTTTGCAGCTGCATCACGGATACCTCAACTCTACCATACCTTCAAAGGTGACATGCTTGAATGGGTTAGTGGACTACATGCCACACACGGCAATGTAGTCCGTGTCGCCCCGGATGAACTGAGCTACGCGACTGGTGAGGCGTGGAAGGGAATCTATGGCCATGCCTCTGCAGGAAAACCAGTTACGGAGAAGGACACTCGATTCTATGGCCCATCATTCAACGGAGCCCCAGAGATTCTCCGGAGTAATGGACCCGATCATTCCCGTTTCCGTCGCAACTTCTCGCATGCCTTTTCTGATCGCGCGCTTCGAGAACAGCAGTCCTTAATCTGTGGATATGCGGACAGTTTAGTTGACAACCTCCACAGAACGATCAAGGAGGATCCCAAATCGAAAATCAATATGGTCCGCATGTTCAATTTAACGACTTTTGATATCATGGGTGATTTGACCTTCGGTGACTCTTTGAATCTGTTAGCTGGAACTGGTAATACCAGTTGGGTTTCTGCGGTTTACGTCAGTGTAAAAACCAACTCTTTGCGCAGACTGGCACGCTACGTCCCTTGGACCGCTGCAATTGCCCAAAGGTTCATTCCGAAGGAGCTGAAGCAACAGACTGTTGCTCACTACCAGGCCTCCCAGGAGCGTGTCGACAAGAGGATAGACGGCAACCATACGCTGCAAAAACCTGACATTTGGGGTATTGTCATGAGCCAAAAGGAGGATCTCCGTCTTAGCCGCAGAGAGATGTATGCCAATTCCCAGGTTTTTATGGTTGCAGGTACCGAGACTACTGCAACGGCGCTAAGTGGTTTGCTCTATCATCTGCTGATGACGCCTGAAAAGATGAAGATCATTATAGAGGAAGTTCGTGGGACTTTCGAGAAAGATTCTGATATGGACATGAGAGCTCTCGAGCGCATGACATATCTCAATGCTTGCATTGAGGAAGGGTTGCGCATCTACCCTCCAGTCCCGGTTGGTCTGCCTCGCGTCACTCCCGATGAGGGATTGCTTGTCTGTGGAGAACATATCCCAGGAAAAGTATGTATTCCTTCTCCTCCCATGGTTAATTTCTAACATTTGAATAATATGATAGACCGCGGTTTCGGTTCATCACTGGGCTACCTATCGCAGCGCTCAAAATTTTAGGCTGCCAGATCAGTTCATCCCTGAGCGTTGGATTGACGATGAGTTTGCCACAGATAATAAGGCTGCATTCCAACCATTCTCATTCGGCCCTCGCAACTGCCTTGGAAAGAAGTATGTCCTCTTCCTGTTCTCTAGGTCAGTTCTAAAGCAGCTAATGATCGAATAGTCTGGCATACCATGAAATGCGTCTCATTCTTGCCAAGGTGCTGTATAACTTTGAGCTTTCTCTGCTCCCTGAATCTATTGGTTGGGAAAAGCAGAAGACGTTCTTTCTGTGGGAGAAGAAGGATTTGATGGTTCAGCTGAAGGCGAGAAAATAAAGCGACATGGCTCAGAAGAATCTGGAAATTGGATTGTCTGAACCTACGTCTCGATCCACGTGTTAGAAGTAGACAACGGCTAGGAAATATCCCGCCTTGCATAGCATAGCCACAACATTCCACAGTCCCTTGAAAGAAAACCGGAAAACCGACACCGTATACTTGAATGAGAGAATACATGTGTATATTTGTCATGGATGATTTGAAGGACTCTTCTCTACGGACGTAGGCCCCGAAGCCTTATAGTCGCTACCACGGACACCATTTCGTCGATCGGACCAGCGGTGCTGTCATCGTGCTGTTGCAGTTTAAGATATGAATAGCATCCAGAATGACATAACAACCTTCCGTATGATTTTGATTCGCACGTAACGGTATATACTGAACTCGGCTCTACTGCCCGATGTAATGACAAGGGAGAGAAAAAAAGACTCGCTGACCTGCACATGCACGGCCCTCACAGATGAAAACAAACGCAAAAGGTCAACGCTAAGCGCAGAAATGTCCAACACCGCGACCGACCATAAACAATCCGCTTCTCAACTCTACCACTCATCGTCGTCGTCGTGTTTGCCCTGCATCGCGCTTTGTCGTGCACGCAGTGCCTCGGCCAAACCACCTGCCAGACTGGCGTTTGAGGCGCTGTTGGGAGTGCCGCGGCCGCTGGCGCCTGATGAGTCGCCCGACTGCATGCTCACGGCGCTATCTCGCGGAGCGGGCGGGGGCGCGGGTTTGCGTCCGGCCATGTTGGGACGCTTGGCCGGGGGTGCTGGCGGGGCGGGCTTGGTCTTTGCGGCTGCAGCTGCTCCAGCGCCATTTGGAATAGGGCTGGGGGTTGCGCGGGGTGCCACCGGGGGTGGGGGTGGAACGGGCTTGGGTGTGGGAGCGACAGCTACTTCTTCAAGGTAGGATTCGGGGGTCCATCCTTGCGCTAATGTTGTTGTGTTCTTACACAGCCACCATCCTAGGACAAGTTAGTTACGAGCTAAACAGAGTATGCTATCGGTACGTACCATTTCCTTCCCTGGATACAATCTCCACAATTTCGCCCTTGATAATAGAAAGCTCATTGGCCCGGTCGCTGGTGTAGTCATACTTGACCTTTGCTGCAGGCTTCCTTGAGGCTGGAGGAGGTGCCGCAGGGGGAGGTGGTGGAGGAGCCCTCGTGGAGCCAGAAGACCTCACGGAGCTATAAGACTCGTTGCGAGAGTGTACAGCCGCGGCAGCAACCACAGGCTGAGGCACGATGCGTGGCTGGGCAGCAGGTTGCGGTACTGCGGCAGGCTGTGGGGTAGACCGGGGTAGAGGCTGAGCGGCAGGGACAGGTCTGCGAGCAGCCTGAGACAATTTCGAAGGGCCGCCACCGGGGCCACCAGGACGAAGTAGCTTGCCCTTTGTAACCGGGCGAGCAGCAACCGCCTTAGGCCGCGGAGTAGGTTTTGAGACAGAGTTAGGAGGTTCACCAGCACTAGTGTGAATTGTGCTGCTTTTGTAGGTGTCGACGTTTCCAGCAGCCGGATCTTTGACTGCCTTGACAGTCGCCAGCTTGCCAGGCTTCTTATGGTATTCGATAGTTTCTCCAATCTTCAAAGTCAGAGAGCCTCGCAGGATATTGGTGAGATGAGTAAAGAATTCGGTTTTGAAGACACAGTTGATTAGCGGGTCGGGTTCCTGAGCCCCAATAACCAGCGAGAACCAGTCGTCCTTGAGATTCGAAGTGCTGACACTCTTGATGGCTCCAACCGGAACGGTTCGTTCCGCTGAAATAACAAGCTGATTGTTTTCGATACTCTGTGCAACAATGTAGACATGACGACTCGTCAAGACGAGGATCCGGGGAACAGGTTTGCTAGAACGACCGAACTTGGACACCAAAAGCTCGGCACGGCAAGAGAAAGCAACATTGTCTGAACCGCTGATGCCTGCACCATTGCGGATCATTTCACCAGGGCCACCGGTATTCCCAACACCAAGGTAATCGCCCAGGAAGCGACGAGAGCCGAGAAGACTCATTCTCCGGCGTTCCTTGCGACCCTGGAGCACTTGGTGTCCCTGATCACGAACCTTGATCAGTTCGAGGCCACCGGTCATGCGGCGCCAGAAGCGCTGGATGCGGATCGCACATTCAATGCGGTACCGGAGATAGTTTCTCCAAGCACGCTGGATGCGGATGGCCATATTGTGCCAGTATTTGTCTCGCATAGCTTCTAGTGCGAACAATGTCTCAGGAGTCTTCACAAAGACCTTTGTGATACCCATCTGGTACTCCTCGGGAGGGATCCGGGTATCCTTCAAGATCTGCTTCGCGCCAGATTCCACATCACCGGTCCATGTGTAGTCACCGGCATACGAGGTCTTCGGGGATAAGAGGTAGAATCGCTCGGTGAATTTGTCGAAGGTCTGACGGTAGGCAAAGCCAGCACGTCGAATGCGGACGTTCTCCTGGAGACCCAGGTACTTGATCTGGTGCAGAACATTGCCGACGTTGTATTCCTTGGGGGCCTTGTTATCGTTGGGTTTGATGGTACGAATATAAGATGGTTGCGCCTTCATGAGCGTGGCCACAAGGTCATTTGCGGATGCCTTGATCTTGTCACCGGCAGTAGGTGGGCGACGCTTGTCGTCCTGGTTCACCTGGTTGGGGAACAGCGTGTGGACGAACTCGTTGCTGCTAGATTGGGCGAGGTTCAACAAGTCTTTCAATAGCTGATCTTTGTTCTTATCCGTCATTCCCTCTACCGCGTAACCGACGTCACCGGCGTAGTGCTTGATGATGAACTGACCCTGGCGACCTTCGAAGTTGGGGTTCTGGGACAGGAAGTTGAGCCTACCAACGAAAGTCTGATCGGCCGCGCCTGAATCAGCGTGAGCAGTCGCGCAGGCATCGTTCAAAGCGGCAAAAACACCAGGGGGGCGCTTGTCCTCGATCAACGAGCAAACCACCTTGTTGTCAAAGTACTCAATAGGAGTCCACTTGATCTGCTCGCGGGCATACTCATCTTGTTCTGCCTTGAGAGTCAATTGAATGAAAATCTGCTGCAGCTTCTCGTTGACATAGTTAATACAGAGCTGTTCAAAAGAGTTTTTCTCGAAGATTTCGAATCCGTAAATATCCAGGATACCAATGGAATTGGTGATGGAACCTCGAGCAGTCAGTGACTGGTTGACGCGCTCCACAATCCAATCGAACAGATTGAAGTAAATTCCCTTGGCCAAAGCGTCCCGAACGGCTGAAGCTTGGACCCTGTTCAGTGGCACTTCATATACAGAACCCCTGCGCCCTCCTCGAGCAGTCTCCATCAGACGAATAGTTAAAGCCTTGTTCACTTGAGCAGAATCGACCTCCAACAGATAGGCGACGAAATCAACGACTGACTGATCGCTAATAGTAGCATTTCCAGAGTCATCCTCGGTGAACTGAACGTTGCCAATCCAGAGAATAGCTGCCAGCATGCGGAATACGTTGTCCTGCTCGGCATCGCTCATTCCAATTACCCTCATTGCATCCAGTGTATCCTTGAACTCGGCGACATCGTCAATGCCCGGCACATCGAAACACTTAGAACGGCTCGTATAAAGGTAAGACTGAGGTTGCTGAAGACCGAAGCTGTCACGGTACTTCTGTGGGGCACCCTTTGTGAGTTGGTAGAATATGTGGAAGTTTCGCTCGTTCGTAATTTGTCCCACCACTCGAGACTTCTCCAGCAGATAATTCGTAATGTTGGCTCCCACCGGCTCACCGTTGGCATTGAACTCCAACTCTAGGTACTTTCCGAATCGTGACGAGTTGTTGTTGCGCAGCGTCTTCGCATTACCGAATGACTCCAGCAACGGGTTTGTGGCCAATACCATGTCTTTCGTCTCCTGAATAGACGAATCGCCACCGCCAGAGACACTGGCAATGTATTGCATGATGCGCTTCGCGGCCTCGGTCTTTCCTGCACCAGACTCTCCAGAAATGATGACACACTGGTTGTCCTTGTAAGATTTCATGTTATAGTATGCAGACTCGGCGACTCCGAATACGTGGGGAGGGACTTCGAGCCGGTTCTTGCCGCGATACGAATCGAGGACAGTATCTGTGTAGATACCCACTGAGATGTTCGTTAGCAAGCAGCAAACCGAATCCTCATCGCGGAGCTACTCACAGTCTCGGAAAGGATTCACTGAGACCAACACATGGCCAATGTAAGTCTAGTAGTCTCCCGTCAGCCTGTACTCATGTTCGCGCACAACCCCGCAGTCCGCGTGCGAAAGCGATCCCTTACATAAATCTCGTTATGCTCGAATCGGAGCTTCAGATTGTCGTTGATAGCCTCGTTGGAGATCTTGCTGAGCAGTGTAAGATCTGACACGCCGACCTCCTTCTTCTTGGTGCTCTCGAAGGCGGCCTTCCTAACCTGCGGCCTTCCCCCCGCTTGCCGGCCATCGCCAACATCTGCGACTGCTTTGGAGCGCCCAAAGCGGCTCTTCTTTTCTCCGCCAACAGGGCGTCGTGACTGACCCTATACCACAATCATAGGGTTAGTTTTGGTTCTTATCTGGTCATTGCGCAAGTAGGCCACCTACCATCTTGTGTCAACCTCTCGAGGATCTCGCGCCCAGGCGACAAATGTGAAATCGGACCTGTCAAATGAAAAGAATTCCAGTGACAAGTCAAGAGTCAGGAATTGAAAGTGAATAGGAAAATAGTCTACCTAGAATCAATTCTAGGTAATTGTAAGGAATAGGAAGTGACTGGGCGGACTTACGTACAACAAGTCAAACCGAAGCAAACAGCTGCGCCACAGAATCCTTTTCCGTTGCTGCCTCAGGGGCGAATTTGATTATCAATTTACCTTACTAAGAATATGATCTTTTTACAGGGCATTCTTATTGCTCAGTTTATTTTTTGTTCCATGGCAATTCTTTTTTTCTAACCTCCTGGGTCAGCCACGCGTCAGGGCGTGTGGCTCGTGCGGTTAAGAATAGATGCACCGACGTCATTGGACATATCCCTTGGGACAAATATACTCCTGCCTAACCGCAACTTTGATTGACCTGACCATAGATGGCTTGAAGCCATGAAATAGTCTATGGATTGTACTCTTGGTTGGGAATCCCGCTGTTCATTGTTGAACTACGTGCTTCGAATCTGCGAAACTAAACCTGCTCTCTTAGCCACCCAACAAAAAGCCCGATTGCAGCTTAGTAGTTTCAAGGGCGTGGAGCTCGTCCGTTGAGATCTCACGGTCTCCTAGCTTCTTCATGAAGAAATCAGCCCGGCTTATCGTCGTCCGGTGTACCAGCATGTTTAACGCGACGAGCCGAAATCGTGGGTGGCGAGAGATCAGCCTGCTTGTGACTATATGGATGTGGACGTGGCCTTGGTGACTAAAAACTTGAGGCAATCATAAGATAGCATAGAGGGGAAATAAAGTTTGAGATGATAATAGAATATGTTTCTATCCATATTGTTTGAAGTAAGACTCACAACATCGGAATTCAACCTTATCTGCAAGACTCGTGAAAGCAACTAACTAGGTTTGCGTGGTCCCCGTGCAGCAGAACAAACATTCAGTGGGAATAGCACCAACCAAGCCGATGAATAAGATGCCGATTGGTGGGTAACCATACATGCTCAATCAAGAAAAAGGTCCAACCCTCATTCATAGAAAACTATGTCGACTCTCTCCAGGTGCAAATCCCTAGGTTCAAAGACATTCCCTCACGAACGGCGACTGGTCTTCTGAAATTCATGAGCATGGAGCTCACTTTTCTCCTGGGCTGAAAATGAAAATTTCGGAGCCGGAAAGGATGTAGGAGCAGGCGCAGGCAATTTAGGCCACAATAGTTTATCTCCAGGGGCGTTGACTGGAATCTAATCGTGATTATGAGCAAATGACTGATGCAAGGCAAGGCTTGCCATTCGACTATAACTCACCGGGTTTGCCCGTGAGACACTCTTCATGTAAGCGCCTATGCAATCCAGTAGGTAGGATGCATCAGACACTACAAGGACAGGGGGTGGTTCTGCGAAGCCCAATGAAAGGCAGTGGTGTAGGGCACCGAGAGACTGCAATGCCTCAATCTGTTCGTTGCCCGACGATGTCGCATCCATCAAGTACACGATAGCCCCCAATGAGTTCTTGTTGGCTTCAGTAAACTTCTGAATTGCAGTCGCTGTGTGATGTCTCGTAGTTACGTTCAGGCGATTAGGGGTTAACAAAAGTGCATTGAGCTTGATGGAGTGTATTTGATGAAGGACATCAAATGTCGACAGGGTTCGGTTCTGGTAGACAAGTTCGAAGCTGAAGTCGGCATCTCGAGCAGCCCACAGAGCTTGAAGGAGAGTTAACGTTTGGACATTTTGTGAGGGAGTCCAGGGAACCTACAACTGAAATCTGTTTTCGGGGGCCCCGGCGAAGCTAGACGATAGGGTCAGCCCCAGAGTTGAGTAAATGGATGAAAGTATTATACCTTCTTTCATTGCCTCCAGAGCAGTGAGTGTGGTAGCCAGCCTGGCCCATTCATTGCGTTTCCGAAGTTCTGGGTTGTATTCACCCCGAAGACCGAGCGTCGGCAGAGGCGTAGTCATTGCGACAGTAGACATGGAAATAGACTGTGGATTGCCACTCTCTGTCGTTCGAGGCGCAAGTGTAGATATGGGGATAAATGGGACTGATGAATTGAGCGGGCTTGCGGCGGAGCGAGGAGAGGGAGGCCCGTTCTCAGGAGATTGAGCAGACATACCAAAGAAAGCAATAATAGAAGCAAACGATTAGAAGGGAAGCATCAGGCACAAAGATCGATGAAAGAGAGAAGAATCAAAGAGAAGAGTTATTGCCTCTATGGACACTGATGTGTGTATGTACATTTCAGGGAAGGAGCGGGGAGAATATCAAGTGACTCCGCCTTGCCCCTACTCTCGAAGACAAACCCACTGCTTGTATTATTTCCAGTGGTCTTTTCAATGGGGTATCTTGACGGAACGTAAAAAGAAATGCACGCCTAACCTTATATAACAGGATATCGCTAGGTGTGATATGAGGATCAATCAATGAGCAATCACGAGCTTTTCAATGCAGATGGTGGCGTCTGACTAGCCAATACAGCAGACTGGTCCGGGGTTTGGGTTGTCGGCGCAGCGTTTTCGATTGTGGGCTGGGTATTAGCCGCAGACTCGGTTGTCTTCTCGGCGCTTTGACCAGAAGAAATGTACGAGGAAATGCGCGAGAGCCACCCCTGTGCGACTTCTGGCGTGTCTGGCTCTGCGGGTTGTTCGTATATCTCAGGAGACAGAATCCTCTTCGTAGACAGCTTGGGCAAGTCGGCGTGCTTTGCTCTTAGCTGGAGCAGCTCCTTTTCTAGTGCCACCAGAGCTTCACGTGCTGCTTGTTCGGATTGTTCCAGTTCTGCCAATCTTCCCTCCACACCTTCCCGGCGGGTGCTTTCCTTATTGCGTGACCGCCACGACTCAAAGAGGATCAGACCTCCAGCAACAACAAAGAGGAAGGATTCGGAGATGAAGTTGGCACCGGACTCGATAGCTTTAGACTCGGAAAGGGGGCGGATACGATAGTGGTGGGGTTTGGCTGCCTCTTCTGCCGCAGCTTTGGCCTTCGCCTCTGCCTCCTCTGCGGCTTTCGTGTCGGCCTCGTTTCGAACAGTGGGGCTTGAAGGCTTATGTTTTCGAGCTTCGGCGGCAGCGGCGGCTTGACGTTGTGAGGCGGCAGTATCGCGGAGGGAGCCTAATCGGAGACGCATATCGAATCGGTGAAGAGCTTGTGCCATAGACACGCAGACCTTGCGAAACCGTTCATGTTCACGGGCCTGGGCTTTGATTTGAGACTGTGTTGGTCAGTGTCAGTCTATGAATTGGGCAGATTGAAGTGGAGATGCAAGCTTACAGCGATGGGCTTGGACAGGGTCCGGATTACCAAGGAGGAGAGCTTCAATGTTAACGACATGTCTGGGGAATGGAGACAGTTAACATGAAGCTTGAGTCACTTTCTTACCTCCGTCTGGACCCCGGGCGCCGCATGTTGATTACTCAGCGCCGTGTTTCGCCCGCGACCCAGCAAGAGGTATGAGGTACACAGCGATCATAGGAGGCTTATTTCCAATATTTGCTTGGCAGCAACCGCCAGGTTACTGAAGATCCATGACGTTTGGAATTTTTAGATATAACCCTACCTTTCAATCTGAGAGAGAAACAAAACTGTTGAGTAGCACGGAAACATAGGGTAACTATATATCTTCCTGGTCCAGATGAGGTCAACTATATTGCACACAGATTCTGTCGGAAAAAGGCATCATAATAGCATTTAGGCCTCACATATTGCCCATGTTAAACCAGTAGCATATGTTAATGTGCCAAAAGACGGAGCATGTACATAGTGCCGGGCCGGAAAAGCCGCCCTATATCGTTATAGGGCTAGCCTTGTTCCCATTCCAGCCGTAGAATTTACAACAACTCGGAGACCCTTCCGATTGTGCGAATTAATAATTGCACATTTTACTGCCTTTCCTTTCCTTTCCGATACATATTGCTTTTCCGTTGAAACCATAACATCATGCAGCCAATAATGAACCAATTATCTCATGCATGTTATCTCCATTTAACCCCTTGGCACCCCGGTGCCCCCAACTTCGAGGTTTCGGCTGAAGCAATGTCACCATTAATATAATTTCGTTATGCGAAAGCTTGGTTTAATCCAGCTAGGCAGATAAGCAAAATTAGCCTTCCATCATCGACCACCCAAATGGTGTGATCAGCCTACTCGGCCCTCTAGCGTGGAAATATTTTCTGCTTGTTAGCTTTTCCTTTCCTATAACGACGCCATGACAGGGGTATTCGAGGACCAGAGCTCTACCAAGACAGGGAGCCGGTACATCGTCCAAGACGTCCAGGATGTAGAAGACCAACACTCCACCCCACAGCCAGGTCCATCTGGCGCTGCCATCCCCGACGACGGGCGGATGGTTACCCAGTATGAACGCCAAAGCTTGATCCGGGGTCTGGGGCAACGTCATATCCAGATGATTGCCATTGCGGGCGCAATTGTATGCGGACCATTATAAAGACAGCAACTTTATGACTAACCGAATATAGGGTACGGGTCTCTTTCTCGGTCTGGGTGGCTCGATTGCCACTGGTGGTCCTCTGGGTGCCCTTCTAGGCTACCTGTTTATCGGTCTGGTAGTTTGCAGCATGCAATTTGCACTGGGAGAAGTCTCTGCCCTGCTGCCAGTCACTGGTTCTTTTGTGCGACACGCGGAGATTTTAGTTGATCCCGCGCTTGGTTTTGCGGTCGGCTGGAATGTTGTTTATGGATGCTTTATCAGTGTTCCGAGTGAAATCTCCGCCAGCGTGGTCCTTATTCAGTACTGGACGGATATCAGTGCCGCCGTCTGGGTGACTCTTCTCATAGCGGTGTCTGTTGTTGTTGCCATCTCATTTATCCGAGTCTATGGTGAGATCGAATTCATTTTCGCCATTCTTAAGATCCTGCTGGTGATTTTCGTGGTCATTCTGGGCCTTGTGATTGATCTCGGTGGTGTGCCGGGTGTACCCCGACGGGGCTTCCACTACTGGAAAGACCCGGGCCCGTTCGTTGAGTATATTGCTACTGGGTCTTTGGGGCGCTTCCTCGGATTCTGGGCTGTCATGACCAATGCAGTCTATTCGTTCGCAGGTGTAGAATCTTTGGCCATGGCCGCTGCTGAAACGAAAAACCCGCGACAGAATATTCCCAAGGCCTGCAAAAGGGTGTTTGCACGAGTGTCTATTTTCTATATCGCCGCTGTGCTGGTCGTGGGGATGTTGGTCTCTAGCGCCGATGAACGTCTTGGCTCAGACTCTGGAACTGCGGCTACGAGCCCGTTCGTCATTGCCGCCGGCGATGCAGGTATCAAGGCTATTCCCTCCGTCGTGAATGCGGTATGCTTGACCTCTGCCTGGTCTGCATCCAACCAGAGTATTCTAGCGGGGACAAGAACTTTATATGGTCTCGCAATCAAGGGCCATGCTCCGAAGATATTCCTACATACGTCGAAGTGGGGAGTGCCGTACATGTGTGTGCTACTGCAGGTTACCTTCTCCTTGCTGGCTTATATGTGCGTTTCCAACAATGCCATGAATGTTTTCTGGTGGTTCGTTGACTTGACTGCGGCTGGCACCTTGGTCTCGTGGATCACCATCGCTTTGAACCATATTCGTCTGTTGCAAGCGCTGGATAAACAGGGCATATCACCAACAGAGTTGCCGTGGCATAATCGCATTACCAGTATGTATCAGAGTCTGGTTTTGACAGATCAACTTTTCGCAGGATTCTAGTACTGACACTATCAAGGATACACAAGCTGGTTCGCGTTGGTCTCTTGTGTCATGATTCTCCTCACTGGAGGATTCGCAGTTTTCACCGCTGGAAATTGGGACCCTGCCTCATTTGTCTCGTCGTATCTGTGAGTGTTCTTTTTTGTGGCATTGAGTCCAATCTACTGACCTTGACTCTAGGGACATTCCACTCGTCCTCTTTGCGTACGGGGGCTATAAGTTGATCCGCCGGACAGAAATTCTTCCTTTGAATATGGTGCCAGTTCAACAAGCTATAGACGAAGCCAACAGTGATCCGGATAACGTGCCCATCAAGAAAGACAGCGTATTAGCAAAGATGAATATTCTTTGGGGCTGATATGTCTCTTACCTATAGCTAGGAGACTAACTGTTTTGTGGCTCGAGGCAATAGAATAAGATATGATAGATGTTGAATATGAAGTAATCATTGAACAACTCAGCCCCTCATATTACTTTCCAGGGTACTATGTGCGCCAAATATGGACGATCAGAATAAGTTTTTAAGGTTTGGCATTAAGTAAACAAACTAGAATATATATCACGGCAACACATGAAGCGAAATACAAAAGTGTAGCAACCCACCAAGATTGAAATAGAACAGTTATTAAATTGATATCTTAATAATTTTAGATAAAGCGACATATGTGTGTATCTTGTTCAGAAAAAAAAAGGGTCGACCGAAAGCAATGGGGACAGCCAAAGGCCCTCACGTGACGCCACGGGCCAACGGCCAAGTGTTTATCGATTACCGTTTTGAGCAAACTGTTATGGTCCGACTCTGTCTACTCTCCATCCTCCCCAAACCCTCGATTGAGGCGCCGTATTTGTTTTCAGAGCTCTGTACAGTTTTGCTTCGTTAGCGCTTTGCATTTCGGTAAGTTCTGTCTCTCATTTCCTATGTTCCGTTCTCAACTGAGAGGGGCCCGGCTTCCCGACAGTGGAGTGAATTCTGACTTGATCGTTGCAGGGATACCAATAGTGCCAGAACTTGATACCCTTTTGCAGACCGTCACATAGTTGCTGTTTTTAATGATCCCCACGCTTGATACCCCCTCCGCTACACAGCTCCAACACAGATATTATCCCTGCCATAGAAGACGACCCGCCAACAATGGAGGCCCTCTCCCCGCGCACGACAAACCAGATGATCAAACCAAAGCTGGCTATGGATCGTAAAGCGTTCGATAAAAATGCTGTGCTCCCGAGCAACAAGCAAAAGCCTGCAACTTCCAAAAGCTACGCCGATCCGCCGCCGTCAATAGTCTCAGAGCCGGAAGATGGCGGGGAGCGATACTCAATTGGCGCGTTCTTGGGGAAAGGCGGGTTTGCTGTTTGTTATGAGGGTTCATTGGCTCGCAATGGCCGAGTGTACGCCATGAAGGTCGTCAAGTCAGCGATGCCCCAAAAAAAGATGGAGGAGAAGGTACGCCGAGGCTCCGGAGACAGAGCGATCGTTTGACAGTACCTAAATTTTTGTCGCAGTTTCGAACCGAACTCCAGATCCACTCTAAAATGCGTCATCCTTTTATCGTCCAGTTCTACCGCGCCTTCGCTTTCGAATCCAGCACCTATGTCGTCCTGGAGCTATGTCCAAATGGGTCGGTGATGGATATGTTTCGCAAACGACGCTGTCTCAGCTTGCCAGAAGTGCGCCGGTATATGATCCAGCTTTGCGCAGCGGTGAAATACCTACACAAACGTTTCGTCGCTCATCGTGACCTGAAGATGGGGAATCTCTTCCTCGATCACAATATGAACATTAAGGTTGGGGATTTTGGTCTGGCCGCTATGATTTTGTCCGATAAGGATGCCAAGCGACGGAATACGCTATGCGGCACACCCAACTACATCGCCCCCGAAGTTTTGGACAAGAGCAAAGGTGGCCATACACAGAAAGTGGACATTTGGTCCGTGGGTGTGATTTGGTAAGAACGCTGCGATATTACTACTAAGTTGGTCAACTAATGTGTGCATTTCAGCTTTGCCATGCTCGCCGGATACTTACCCTTTCAATCGAAAACGCAAGATGAGGTTTACAAGAAAGTTCAGAACTTGAATTATGTCTGGCCCAAAGAATCAGACTCCGGCAACTACATCCCCGAGGAAGCAAAAGACCTAGTAGGTCGTTGTCTGAACCTAGTGGATGAGGAGCGACCTGACCCAGACGACATTGTTGAGCACCCATTCTTCAACATGTACGATGGGTGCATTCCTCGTCAACTGGACCCCTCATGTCGATTCAACAAGCCACTGTGGCTCAAGGATGCCTCACCTCAAGGTGACTCTGTGGTAAGTGGATACGGCTTAGATTCGGATGAGAAGCTCCGAGCCTATGTATACCAGGTGGACGACCCCGCCCAGCGATATCATTCATGCAAAGCCGCCTTCTACTCACTGTGCGGCGTGGGACGCAAGCCTGACGGAACGGCTCGGAAATCTGTCGGGAGAAACTGCTCCAAGTCGGCCTTTTCTGAGTGTGATGTGGAGGATTCCAGAGGTCTACGACCCGTAATACCCTTGTCACCGGATTATGTTTACCGATGGCCCCATGATCTCGAAGGAGACTGGTGCCTGGAGAGTTCCCGAAAGGTAATCCGTAGTGAGGAGTCCATGCTTAACAGCAGCACCATGTCCCAGCGCAGTGCTTCCATTCGTCCCAACCCTATGGCAGCATCACGGACCAACGCCGCCCTTGCCGCTGCTCAACAGCGCCGAATGGAAGGACAGAGCCATGCCGCAACGCTACGCCAGCAAGCTCGAGTACCCCCTGTCTCTCCCCGGAGGGCTCCTGGAATCAGCGATCCCGCTGTTCTACCCTCCAGGCCATATCGAGATATTCCACAAGTCGAGCCAAAACCTTCCGCCGCGGACGTAGCAACTGGAGGCCTGGCAGAACGTCCTATCAGGACAAGAAGGATGGTATCTGCATCCCAGGCAACAACACTGCGTAGCAAGGACAAGGATACTGCCCCACAATTAGCCAAGTCCACAAGCATGCCGTCAGGTTTGACTGTAGGCAAAACACGCTCTCAGTCTCGCAGATTGGCAGCCGCTGACCAGGAGTTGATGCAGCCTTCTATTCAGACCAAACGGCAACCATTCGCTAGGCCGGAGGAGCGAGAAGTGATCACCCGCCAGACATCCTTACGGTCTATATCCAGAGCAGACCTCAACGCGAGCGAGGGAAGAGGCGAAAGACGGAGAGATAGCCCCATCGAAGAATCCGCTCGATCTTCACTGGCACAGTTGAAGTCTTCCGCCGAATCTAATGGACTTGGTCGATCAGACTCTAATGGTTTCGCTCGCTCTAACAGCAAGACGGCTGGTGGCAGGGCACGCTCTAGTTTGGGGCTCAGTCCTCTATTCCACACAGAAGATACCTGCAAGCTGCTACCCAGGACTTCGTTGACCGAAGTCAACACTGACTTGCGTCTCATGCTGACCAACCTGGTCAACCATGCACCAACTAGGCGCAGAGGGGGAGCACGAAAACAGCCTCATGCCTATGTCATCAAATGGGTCGACTACACCAACCGTTATGGTATTGGGTATGTTCTGGATGATGGCAGTGTTGGGTGTGTTTTCAAGGGAGAAAATGGGCAGCCGGCGACGAGTGTCGTGGTTCGAGATGGCGAGAGACACATCCGTCGAAAGGCGCGTAGCGTCGCGGATGGCAAACAACAACCGATCTACTACTCCGAGGCTGATCAATTAGTTCCTCGCACTGGAAACCCAGTTGAGTTCTATGAGAACCGCGACGATGACTTGCTAGGATGCCGCGGCATCAGACGAGCACTGATCCCGCCCTCACTCTTCGATGTCAAAGGCTCAAAGGCAATGAGAATTCGCTCCAACACAGGAACTGAGCTCGAACGAGCCGATGCGGAGAAAATAAAGCGGATGAAGCTTGTGGATCAGTTCGGTAAATACATGATCGGAGCCCTTGGTCGACATGGCGACGAAGGCATCATGGACGAAGACCTGCCTGAACACAACAGTGCCCAGTTTGTCAAGTTCTATCAGCGCTTGGGTAATGTTGGAATCTGGGGTTTCGGAGACGGAGCCTTCCAGTTTAACTTCCCCGACCACACAAAGCTAGTGATCTCGCCCGGCCGCACCCGTAGCTCATCCCCCTGGATCGACTTCTACCATCTCTCGTCCTCCGCCGCTCGATTCTTCGCCGCAAAAGGCAAGATGCACCCAGCAGGATTCGACACTCGGGCCGTGGCCTCCGACGAGGCTGCCACGTTTCTCAGCATCGCGAACGGAGATTCTATCAATTCGACCGAAGACCGTATCCGGGATATCCTTGATGCGAACGCTTTCATTCAGAAAATCGCCTTCATCAAAGATACCCTCAGAGTTTGGATTAAGTTCGGGCGACTTGGTGGTCGTCCGCCCTCGATTGACTCCTCTTCTGCTGATGAATCCATGCCCGACGAAGCGTTCTGGCAAGGAACGCAGGAGCGTTCGCAACCCAATAGCCCTGGCACGAAGTTTGTCTGGGTGACTGTCGGGGCACCAGATGGCGATGGTCACTATCGGTCCATGATGCTTAAAGATAGTGACCGGGAGCCAAAGCGCGCTCCAGCTGGGATGGAGTATGACAAAGAAATGGATCTACTCAAAGACCGGTTACGTGCACTTGGTCGTTAATGGAATCTGCCTGTTCTCCTTCTGCTATTTATCATGTCCACTTTATGATGTCACGGCCTTTTGTTTTTGTTTCTGGCATAATGCTTTATGTTTATTCTCGTGGCACGAGACCATGAATGTTTGAAGTTCAACATCCCAAGTTGTCTATAATCTTTGCTGGACACGGTTCTTGTTTGTTTCGGCTACTTGCAGCAATGTACATTCCCTGCACTCTCTCGTATCACTGCTCCATGTAGTGACAGTCTACTTTGCCAGCTCGTACGCTTAAACCCCATTCCTATACTCGGGATCAGGATCATGTGTATTGGACTCCGTACTGTTTCTCCACTTTCCCTCGGTCAAATGTCTTCCGACGTTCCATTCCCCGCGTACAGGCCGACAACATTCCCCCGCTTATATACAGACGGTGGTGGTACCTATAACCAGCTGTAAAAGAGCTCCTGGCCTATCGTCCAAACAGCTGAATTGATTTACAAAACTGCATCTTTGGTAGTTTGACAAACTTCCCTCATAAATCCATAGGGTACCTACAACTACATTCCCACCCACACTTCACTGACCCTCCATCTCCCCAAATCCCAACATGGAGAACCCTTCCTGCCTGCTCTACGGTGCAGGCGACGCCAGATTTGAAAACCGGCCGAGGCCAGTAATCGAAGATGCCCACGATACATTGGCGTCTGCGGAAGCGATGTATGTATTGCCCCATGAATTGCCACACCCCGAGAAAATGTCCCCTGTCTGACACATCCAACGCCCTAGGTCCACTTCTGGCTCCACGGCGGCATCAAAAACCACGTCTCAACAACAAACCCGCTAGTAATGGGCCACGAAGCCTCGGGTATCGTGCACGCCATCGGGCCCGCCGTAACAATCCTCAAACCAGGCAATGAGATAGCCATCGAGCCGGGCTTCGCCCTGTCCCCACCTGCGCGCAATGCAAGAGCGGCAAATACAATCTCTGCCCGCATATGAAGTTCACTGCGAGCCCGCCGCATACACACGGCGCTCTCTCAAAATTCTTCAAGGTTCCTGCAGATTGCTGTTACAGAATTTCCGGCGCTCAGCTTAGAGAAAGAGTTCGGATTGATGAGGCTGTGCTTATTGAGCCGATGGATGTCGCTGTGCATTCTGTGAGGCAGGTAGGTGTCAAGCCTTCTGATAGGGTTGTTGTTTTCGGGGCCGGGACAGTAGGGCTTCTTTGTGCTGCTGTTGCGGGCCAGTTTGGGGCTAGTGTCATCGTGTCTGTGGATATTAATAAAGACAAGTTGGATTTTGCTGAGGACTGGATGTTGCCGGATCGGGCGCTGTTCTCGACTCAGCTTGCGCGTGAATTGTGGACTCCAGAACAGATTGCTGCCGAGTTGCGGAAGCGGCTTAAGTCGTTGAGGTTGGAACCTGATTGCTGGGATCGTCGGTTTTAATGTTGCCATTGAGGCTACGGGAGCTGAGTCGTGCATTCAGACGGCTGTTCATTCGCGTCGTGTTTGGGGCTCGTTTGTTCAGACTGGGTTGGGGAATCGGAATGTTAATTTTCCTATTTCCATAGTCTCGGAGAACGAGATTACTGCCAAGGGGTGCTTCTGGTATGGGGCTGGGGATTTTAAGCTGGCATTGGAGATGGTGATGGTTCAGAAGGTTGATTTGAGGTCACTAATCACCAAGATCGTGCCTTTTAGGGACGCTGTTGAGGCCTGGGAGGCTACGAAGAGAGGCGAAGAGATCAAGACTTTAATTGAAGTTGGACTTTGATCAAGAGAACCCTCTGTTAATATGAGCGAAGACTTCAATCATCAACATCAGTAAATGCCATTACTTTGTACATTATAGACCTCCATCAATGTGTCCAGAAAGAACATCCACTACCACGCCCAAGGTCGAGGCTCTGTGACAACTCCCCGCTCTGTCCGCATGTCAAAGTCCTTCAAACTGTTAATAGACTCATCGTCGTAGGAATCAAGAAGCCCTTGGTTTGTCTCCAATGCGCGGTCAAGATCATAATGTTCAGTCAAGAGACTGATCACCATCGCCACACCCGAGACCCCACAGCAGACCATCCACACCGTGCGTAGACTGTCCGTATACGCTTCCTTGAGATTCGCCTTGTCAGCGCCATCCGCCATCGCCTTGATAACTTGGACCAAGCCCGCGGCATCCTTGCTGTACGCATCAGCCATAGGAGCCAGAGCAGAATACCTGGAGATATTGGTAAACATGCGGTTCTGGAAGACAACACCACCGACAGCAACGCCGATAGCTTGACCGAGAGCACGGAAGAAACTGAACATGGCAACCGCAATAGCGAGGTTCTCAGGGTCCGCCGAGGCCTGCACTGCATAACCAAGAGACGGGAAAAGGATACCCAATCCAATGCCGGGCACGATGTTGAGGAAGATCCAACCGAGCATACTGGTATGCACTTTGATCAGGCACATCAAACCCAGTCCGACAGTTGAAAACACCCATCCGATCCAGATAGCCCATCGGTAACTGCCTGTCGCCGTAATCAGGACGCCAGCTACCATCCCACTCGGAGCCACAGTGAATGTCTCGGGGAATAGAGCGACGCCCGAGATAATGGGGCTGTACTCCTTCACTGCCTCATAATACAGAGGAAGATAATAGAGGGCACACCATAGGATCAAACCCTGCAAAACACTACCTATGAATGAAGCTATTGCCGTGCGGTTCTGGAATATCACAGGCGGGACAATCGGATCGGAGGCGAAGTATGTCTCGTAGAATCCGAAAATGATCAGCCCGACTCCTCCTACACAAAGAGGTACAAGTGTGTGCCACGAGTCCCAGTCGTATGAAATACCACCCCAGCTGAGCGGAATCAAGAAGGATGACATGCTTCCGACGAATAAAACGGTGCCGAAATAATCGATCCGACGGAGCTTCTCGACTAATGAACTGGGAGCAAGCTTGAGGTTCAAGAATAGGATCACGAGAATTCCGCCGACTCCGATAAAGGGGAAGTTGATATAGAAGATCCATCTCTGCCCATGATTAACATGGATAATTGCTGGTCCATCATAGACTGACTTACCCAAGACACATTTTCGGAGAATCCGCCACCAAGGATAGGCCCCGTCACGGACCCAACGCTCCACATTGCACTGAGGATACCAAAGTACTGACCACGCCATCGTAGAGGGACAAGATCCGTTATGATGACCTCGCTTAGGGATATGATCCCACCCCCGCCGACGCCTTGGATTGATCGACCGATTAACATATATGTAAAATCATTGGCGATTGCTGCGAATATGGCGCCGACACTGAAAAATATGAGGGAGATTAGGATCATAGGTCGACGGCCAAAAATATTTGAGAAGGAGGCGAAGCTTGGTTGGAATACTATGGAAATGTTAATGGGGTTGATCATATCGTTGCGGAAATACAATACCACTTACCTGTTGAGCATAGCAGGAAGGAAGTTCCACTCCAGAACGCTTCGATGGCCGTTCCATTGAGTTCTTTTGCAATTTCCTAATTCTGATAAGTTTCTAAGGCGTTAAATATTCTCGCTGAAGCACTCACAGGTAAAGCGACGGACAGCGAAGTTCCATCCAAAGCGGCCATCAAGGTGAGAACAGACAAAGTAAAGAAGACTAGGTTTCCCCTTCGACCCAAAGCAAATTTCTCGTCTTCGAATTTTCTTTTCCGTTTCACTGCTGTAGATGCTCTGCTCATGGTATCGTCATATTCGGACCTCCCGGGTCTATAAAATGGGAAATCTGAGTCCGCCATGGTGAAGGTCAAGGACGGCGATGACAATATAGCAATCAAAAGATGAGGGGAACGCTAAGGATTGAGCTCACAGTTATAGAGTATCTACTACAGAAGGAAAAAAATTGAAATGGGAATCCGCATCGTAGGTAGATAAATAGCATCTACTATTCCACATGTCCCCTCCACGCGGAATTGACAAAATCCCATGTAAAGTTTTGAATAGAACGAAATATTACTGCGTCGTGATCCAAAGATCCCGACTCCGCTGGCTATAGCTTGAATCTTCATGTTATACACGGGGAGATAGTCTCAAGGGTCTCCACGATGGCCCTAGTTTGGGTTTGAATATGGCTGCAGCAGGCCAGTTGGCTTCCCGAGAATCGGCTCAATTCCTCGCCGTCTTATCAGTCGGGACCGGGTAACTGCATGGTTTCATGGTTATGCATCATTTGTTCGAGTTTGATCCTCTTCCTTCTTTTGGTATTATATAGCCCTCTAGTCGGGATTTTGATGGCCCAGGCGGATTTGATGGGATCTTGATCGCGGTTATCCCTACATCAGCTGAATCCATTCGAAACTTGAATACGTTGCTACGCCTTATGGTATCATGAGTTCAAACTTTGAATATTACGAGGCTTGAGGAGTTGAGCCATGCGTCCCAAAATATCTCGCCTTTACACTTGTGCCACACTAACAGGTCATAATGCTTCATTGTCGTAAGGGTTGAAACATGTCTTAATTCTGAAGATCTGGCATGTAGCCACATTGAAATGTCTCCGGTCAGCATTTAAATAGCTGGGCCTCGCATCAAATTCACCATTTGTCTGTTAATCAAGAGTATAAGACCCAGCAATGGTCTCGGAGTCGCTCCGCATTCTCACAGCAAGTCCACCAATGTTAATCAATGCATGCTCTGAGACCATAAAGAGACATTTCGGACCCCTAGCCGTGTCCGACCCTATGAAGCATCTTGCAGTCGCTGCCACTCACCGCGAACAATCTCCGGTAGTTCATCCACCAGACTAGGCCGCGAGCAATTTTATGCCAGGATCTCGCTTTCCCGCTGTCAACGACCGCGAGAGTTCATTCCCCAACTGAGAGACTCATATCCTGCATACTCCTTGGCGCTCTCGGAGTTAGGTGTCTTGGGTCTTTGCCTCGGGCAGGTACCCCAGCTTCGCGGCCGCCGCTGCTGTAGCTTGAACTAGCTCACCCCAGCAGTATTCCCCATTCTCGGTAAGGTAGTGGGCCTCGGGACCCCAAAGCCCGTCATCAGTTCGGCCTGCAATCGCCGCGTCAACAAGTAGAGCATAGACGACACTCAGGTCGTGGATGTGGATATGGTTCGAAATTGACTGACCGGCGCCGATTATCGGGCCCCTCGGGAGACGGAGCGTCATAGTCGCTAATACGCATACCCGAAGGGGGCGTTGGCTAACTGGACCTCGTCCTTTGCCTGCGGAAATTTAGCCAAGCGGTTCTCTTTGTCCGATAATGGTAAATACGTACCGTAGATTGTATACGGACAAGCAAGTGCTTCTTGAGCACATCGGCATGCTGGGTTCCAGTCCCGAGGACAAGCTGGTCGACATTCCGATGAAATGGGCGATCTTGCAGATTGAATAATCCACTCCATCCCAGTCATCGTACACATGCTCGCTTCTATTTCCGCATTCGTTCTTGTTGCTGTCCTACCATCTAAGGATGCCAGTTCCTCCGGTGTGTAGCCAGTAGCCTGGGTTTTCCGGCTATGATGGCTTTTGCTGCTCCCATGCTTTTCAGTTACAAAGTGACATTCTGGTTCCCATACAATATTGGTCACTTATTCTGACAGATAACTACCTACGTAGCTACTATATATATATAACAGTATATACCGTATACCAGATTTTATGCCGATACGAATTTCCCGATCGGGGTCCCGCCGCTTTATGAGGGCACTCAGACTCCTGCTCACTGAGTATCTCACAGCACATGGGTGACTACTCAGCGACCAGTTATTTAAGTTAACTACAGTTAGCCTTGAAATGGTCCAAAAATCTGTATAAACGCCAAGGGGTAGAATCGACAACAGTGAACTCAAGCTTGCGAAAGGTATGATAATGGCTCAAACCCAAGAAGAAGAGTGAGAGCGTGAATCTTTGAGGCAAACATTTATGGGATCACAATAGACGCTTACCTCGTCATAGAACGGCCTGAAGTTGTTTGTTTTCAATTTGACGTATGCCGGTTCTTCACTGTGAATGTGCTGGAAGACTCTATAGTCTCAATGGAAATAATTTACCACATGCAACGTGTGCAGCCTCCATATGATGCAAATACACACAGGCAGAACAGTTCACGCAAGTCTCATATCCTTCAAAAAGCAAGATAACCCCCAATCATGCTAAAATTAAAAACCCTAAATGGGTAATGAATACGAGTACGTGTGGGTCTTGGCCACCCGGCATCCTATTGGCTGGGATAAATAAGCTAACCGGCATAGCCCCACATGGGATTGTGTCTATTTTTTGCTCACATTATTGAATCAGGCCCTATTAGTCTCGACTTGAATGCATTGAGTTTTCTTCTTGCGTGGCGTGGCAAATCTGTGGAAGATTATTGCGGATCATTCTTTTCTAGCCTTATATATATTGAACCCCGCCCTGTAGTTAAATCTATCCATTCCCCCGATTTCAATTTTGAAACATGATGAACGAGAGAATGATAGCAAATGTTGATCCGATGGAAATAGACGATACTAGCATTGCTAAACTATCATCATCTGATAGCCAGGTCTGCTCCTCGAGTCATTATGATGCCAATTTCATGGGAATTTATCACTGATGCCTATTGCAGATGACTGTCCCCCACAATACGGTCGAGACCATTCGCAAGGCCTCATGGCAAGAAACATTCCAGACGTTCTTTCTGTGGATGTGTACACCATTGGGGGCTTGCATCACAATTTACGGTCTGAATGTGGTAGCATGGGGTGGGATGCTCTTCCTCTTGATGTGCAACGCAGCGCCCGCCATGTGTCATCCAAGCTGCAATAGCCTTGACTCATCACGTCGGATTTGGATTGAGATTGATTCCCAAATCCTGAATGCACTATTCTGCGTCACTGGATTTGGGCTAGCTCCGTGGCGTATCCGTGACCTTTATCAATGGTCTTTCTGGCGATTGGGCTGGTCCGAAGGGCGTCGACGGAAAGGGCTCAACCGCCTGGAAGAGATTCATAAGAACTGGTTCGTGAAATTTCAAGAGCCAAGTGTGCTTCCTATCAAAACTCAGCAGCATTATCCAGCGGCTGAACAGGCCACACCTACCCCGTTATGGAAAATGGATGTTGTGGTGTGGGGTAATTTCCTTAATACAGTCTTTCAGGTCTGCTTGGCTGTTTGCATGTGGGCAATGAATCGTTTCGACAGGCCAAGTTGGACAACTGGTCTTTTCGTCGGTCTTGCTTGTGTTGTTGCCGGAGCTGCTGGAATTTTGATGTGGTTGGAGAAGAAACGCGTCAAGAAAGCCAGCGAGCACCCCGGTGCTCTTCTTTTGATCCCTCGTGCTACGCAATCTATTCTACCCGGAATCAAGGGCGGCGATTATACATCTGTAAGCCGGAATCATGAGCTCGCATAGTTTGACTATTGTCAGGCTTTTATTTTCCAGTTGACTTAGTATAATTTGACCTTTGCGATAAAAATATGGTTCCAATAGCAAAATCTTCCTATTGTCTCTCACGGAGAGCCGGGTGTCCGTTTTCCCACGAGTTTAATACTAGATGTAATAGACATAGTAGCTCTGCTAGCTCGAGCATCGTAACCACTCTGTGTAATTCGACTCCACATCAACCTGAAAATCTTCCTAGCTCAAATGACTATCATACGCAGGGTGATCACAACATCTAGAAATTACGTCTCTCTATATGTTCGATAACTAAAAGAATCTATCGAATGACTGCAGCATCTCACTCCGCTCTTCATCTGCCATCTGCATCCTGCTTGTTTCATAATACCCATTCTTTAGCCGTGCATTCACAATGGCCTTGCGACTCTGGGAACGAAAAGCTGCCTCAATGCTTTTAGTAATTCCTTGGAAAGGATACGCCACCAGTCCGATCCCGGCTAATAATACGTCCAAGTTAGCTTTGTTTGGTTGCTGGATTGAGAGAATCTCTTACCAGAGGGGACCTTCGTTGCAAGCCCGATAGTGCCCTTGGCAAAGCCCTTGACCGCACCTAAAGCGCCTTCCTCTTTTGCCCCATTGACGGGTTGTGTAAAGAGGCCGGTGAAGCCATCAGACATGCCATCCACGAAATTCCTGCCACCAACGATAGCTCCGGATTTCCAATCCTGAACCACGCCGTAGTCCTTGGGCTTTTCCCCATACAGCCGAGGAACCTGTCGGAATCCTTCCGCGGCGGCATGTGGAATGTCGACTACCACCCCTTTGAAGTATGATCCGGTGAATTTACCAAAGCCTTTCATCGTTGCACCTAGCATGCTGCCTGCAACATATAGACCGTTCCTCGTTGTAACGGGTCCGGTTTCGGATCCAGGGCCAACGGATGGTGTCCGACAATTATGCGAATTTGCTTCATCGGCTGCAGATATTCTTGTTGGCGAGGGTACCCTTGAAAGCGGGTCGCCAGGGACCGCCGGGGCTTGCAAGGCCCTCGCTGATGTGTTTGGAGAACGACCGCGTTTGTATTCCTTGTATGGGTTGTAAATCATATCAGCGGTCGAGCCGAGCATAGTTGACCCGGTTCTGGTAGCTGCAGCCAACATTCCAGTTATGGGATCCCAGCGGCGATGTTCAATAACGATTGGATTGACAAGATGACTGATGGAACATGAGAGCCATCGGTTAGCAAGTTCATATTCTGGCTGGAGTCCGGGCACGTACAACTGAAGACGTTTTTCATCTATCCTTTGATGTTCAATCAAGATCTGCACGGCTGCATTGGATAGGTCCAAGTTGGCTTTGGCCTTTTTGTATCTCCAGACCGCAACCTGGTTGGGCATTAAATTGCACCTCATTTTCTCCACGGGAAGATTTCGATGGAACGATCCCACGGCTGCGGTTACACCCGATTCAGTCTGCATTTTGAAAGCCAACACACGTGCAGCTTCTGTTGCCTCTGAGGTGAGGCAAAATTGGATAGCAGCCGTCAGTCTCTGAAAGTCGAGTGATGCAAATGGAATAGGCTTAGGCCCAGCACCGGCTCTAGCAACCATGTTGCCCCAGAAAGGTTGGCTAGGAGAATCAGTACTGACAGAATATCGCAAGTCAAAGATGGTTCAGTTCAACAATTGATAACTTACTCGCCGAAAAAAGGCACGATAGCAGTCGGTCGCCCATTCTTGAGACCACACGCAGTAGTTCCAGCGCCTCCGTGGTGGACTACTGCAGCGACGTGTTGAAAGAGCCACTCATGTGGACAGTCGTCAATATAGTAGATATTCGGGTTTGGGCTTCCAACTAGCCCACTCCAACCCTTTGAAATGATCGCACGTACACCTGCCCTCACCACCGCGATGACAACGGTGTCTATTAGTTTTTGGGGGTTCTCGACCACAATACTACCGAAGCCAATATAGACAGGAGGTGGGCCATCTTGTAGGAACTCCCTTAGCTTTGCGGGTGGAGAATATGATGGGTGTTCTCTAAAGAAAAATCCACAGACATCTAAACCATTTAGTTTTACCATCGTAACAGGGAACCAAAGTGAGTACATACCAATGTGGCTTGGCCAATCCTGCGGCTTTGGCACAAGAGCAGGTGACCAACAATATGTGTAAGGTATCTTCAATGTTTCATTTAGGGAGGGCCCTTCCGTTGCCGGGACAGGCTCTAAGTCTATTGAGACCCGCCATCGATTGATCACATCTCCGAGCCTAAATTACCATGTCAGTCGCCTAACCACTGTTACTTCATAGTAAAGCTTACCCTTGCCATGTTAACCACTCAACAACCCCATAAGAAACCCAATTTGCAGTCTGAGGATCCATAGAAGAGGGATTTAGATTGGCGAGAGGATGTGGAAACGCCTTGGTACTGCTCCATGGCATCGTAAACATCAGATGGACTGGAATGCCTAGAGCCTGTGCACAATGAACGTGTGCAAAGCTAGGAGGATTTGCAATTATGGCGTCTGCAACAAATGGCTGTTTGGTGATTGGATCATCTTCAATGCAGGACCTCCAGCACCCATCGAGCATTGTCGCTACCATAGCCTGCTTTCGTTGCACCTCCCCTGCGCGGAGTGTCTTCATTTGTGGAATCAAGCCGGGGTTCTTGACCATGAACGCCATCAATTCTGCAGGATCTCCGCCAATGGGAAAGAACTCTAACCCTGACTCGTGTACGAAGTCTGCAAAAACATCATGTGTGGCAATCCGGACACGATGGCCATGCTTTTGTAATGCATTTCCGAGCGCGATGAAAGGTTGCACATCTCCACGACTTCCCACAATTTGAATGACAATGTTGAGATTAAATTCACATGAGGTTATTTGCTTCGTAGGGTCGATATAGTCAGGAGGTGGATTGTGGATGTCTTCTTGCTGCAAGTCGATGATTTTGGCGAGGGTTCTCGCGATCTTGGATTCGAGGTTGACATCAATTCGGCCGTCTCCTATAACGAGTATCAGAATGGGCCGACAAATCATCATCCTCGTGGCTCCACCTACCTTGCACATTGCCCGATTCTGCCACGAGTCCGCCGTCGGCAACCAACGAATATGGTGGAGGGCCCGACTCATCCACTTGTTCACTCCCAGTCCCAGAATGTGTGGAGGCTCCCATGTTTTCGAAATCGAAGAAAAATCTTGAAGTCAAGGATCTGGGAAAGTTGAACTATTAATGGTAAATAAAAGATGGGTTAGTCTCGTACTCGTACCCTTCGGCAGATTGGGATTGGTGGATCCCAATTAAAGGTTCAATATTGGTCCGTGCATCGCGACTCGCGCCCATTTTGATATCCACCGACCGATTTTAGCTTTTCTGATTTTCGGTACCTTGGAGTCAAAAAGTCTACAAAAAGGAATATTCTGCCTCGATAGATTATTTACTGTTCCTGCAACTTCTCCAAGTCAGGTAGCACCCATTTAGCCATCCACTCAGAGTCTAGAACCTCCTCGATTGTTGGTCGTTCTTGCGGCTGAAATGCCAGCATCCGACGGATGAGATTGAGAATAGCCTGTGTTTCCTCCTCTCCAAATTCGCCCTTTTCAAGCTTTCGTCGATAGTGCTGCACACCGTCCTTGAACGACTGTTCAAACTCGGGCCATACCCACCTCCCTTCTCTTGGACGCCCATCTTGATCAAAGAATTCTCCACGTCCCTCCCAGCGTCCCAACCAACTCGTAGGCATCGGCCCTAGCACGTCTATATGCTGGGAAACCATCTCATCGTCTGTAACATATTCATTACTGAATATTGCCTTCATGCCCAATATCTCCCAAATTGCCCCTGCCAGATATCAGCCGGGTATGAGAGAGGAGCCTGTGGTTCGAATCTGGCTTCTGGGGGCCGTGCGAAAAGTGGCGTATGGCAGTCCTCTCCTCGGCGAGCTTCTGATGATGGGGAATATGACTCGCCAAAGTCGCTGAGAAGTACATGTGCATCATGCAGTTTGAAGTCGGAGGCGTCCATGCCCAGGTACAGCGGAATTACTGCTTTCAGTGGAACGTTTGGTGGGAGTGCCTTTCCGTCTCAGCGCGTAATCGGGACGGTCTCTGGTTCGCCATATTCCTCGTAAAACTGTTTGACGGAGAGATGGTTGAAGCTAGAGGGAATCTTGACCAAGATATTGCGGAGGTGGATATCTGTCACAACACATTAGCTACAAGGATCCAGAGCCAAAGGATAGCAACAAACCTTCGTGGACGTATCCGCATGAATGCATATGGGAAATAGCCATCGTCAGTCCCCCGACTAATGCTCTTGCAACATCGAGGGGAAACAAACAGCTAAAGGACGCCTCTCTTAGATTGCATCGCGCAAGAGCCATCGTGTGGCATGGATGAGCCCCATTAGGTCCACGAGCCTCGAATTCGTCCAGAGAAGATAGAATCGCATCGTGACCAGGATGTACAGATGATGCAGAGAGAGCTCGGAGACACTTCATCTCCTGAGAGAGAGAATTCGCAATTCCAACCTTAACGGCGACATATTCTTCGCGGTGCCTGTCTTGCGCAAGCCAAACGGTTGAATACCCCCCGAAGCCCAGCTTGTCCACGATGCGGTAGCGGCCATGGAACACATCGCCAATCATGACTGGATGGTAGCCTTCGGGCTTATATTTTTCAAGCGTTTCAACATCACTGATCCAATTGTACTCGAAGGGAGGGTTCTCTGCATCATCTTCGCAGCGCGACATTGCCGTGGAGGTGAAGCTTGACTGGGGAAGCGAACCATGTTTAACCTTCCAAAAGCGACAGGGAGATGGTAATTGAGTTGAGTGTTGAAAGGACTTTGACAAGAAAAAGGGATTAAGAGGAGTGGCTATTCGAGGTATCTCGCCATAATACTAGCAGCGGTTGGTTGTAGAGTGGTTGTAGGTTCATAGCGGGTCGTTCTTGTTCGAAGCTAAACCTAATGAGGTAAGATCCTCTCGATTTTGCCCAGGTGACATTCCGCGAATCCATTGCGAACGTCCTGTGCACATATTATTGAGCTTATCATACTCAATCTTGACTACCCAAAGTTCCAACGCATCTCCTAGTACTCCGTTCTCCGCCTCTTCTTACTGCGCAATTCGTGCCGATCTGTGCCAGCCTCTTACTCCACAGTGAGACCCTGTTGGCATAGCGCTAAAACCCATTGGAAAGGGTCTCTATTGGCACTTATTGACTATCGGGCGAGCATAACATCGCCACTTGCACGTAGTCGCGGAATGGCGAGAAGGTATCGATCTCCCGAAACCCATACTTCTCATACAAGGGTTTCCCAGCCGGAGATGCAGACAGATAAACCTCCAATCCCTCAGCGTCAGCGCGTGTGAGACCCCATTTGAGGAGCTTCGATCCCAGTCCCTTGCCCTGGTAGGAATCGTGAACACCCAGCATATCCAGATCTATAGGTCGCAGTTAGTGTTCGAATACGAAAGGCATAAAGCAAAACACGAAGACTTCAAGCAAGGGTCAAGGAAAAAGACAAGATAGAAGACAAAAACGTACAATAATGAGGCCTCTCCCCCATCCACTTCTTATGCCGCGCCCCCATACCATTGAAAAACCGATCGCAAAGCTCCTTATCACTACTAGGAGGCCACACGATCTGTTCCTCGGGCCGATCGCGATCTGCAGCGGGTACCGGAAGCTTCCATTTCGCGAATGCGGCAATCCCACCATCCTCCGATCCCTCCGTCACCTTGAGGAATACAGAGTGGGTCTCGCCTGCAATTGAGCGCGTGATGCTGGCGGTAAAATAATTTTCCCACCATTCCGTCACATCCGGCGTGTTCGGGAACATGGCTGTGTCCAAGTCACTATGGAAGCTGGCGTAGAAGACTTGCGTGAGTTCGCGCGCATCGGTGGGAGATGCCAGGTGGATTTCCATTGACATTTTGGGAGCCTGGATTTGAAATTTGCGCGTGACAATGTGGTGGGATGGTATGACATTCAATGGGGCAGGTTGCGTATTAAATTGGAATTTAGATGGAGTTGTAAATTGGAAGATTTTGGTTGTGTCATCCCGAGTGGCGGTGGAGAAGGCTTCAAGGTGGATCTTTACCAGAGCTGTTCTACAATAATGCCCATGGATAGATAGGATTTAACCGCTATTAGCCTCACGGCGGCTAATTAAAGATGTGCACAGTTCCATGGGACTCAAAAAGAGTTTAAAGTTGACGCGACGCTGCACTGTTCTTGGCGCATAGAATCCATACCAAGTGTCATGGGGTGTCATTCCGATATATTACCAACTCCAAAGTTCTTAAGTCCCAGGATTGTTGCCGAGACCTCGCATTCACACTGTTCGATGTACTCTCGGATGTTCTTCCACTGGTCCTGTTCGGTCTCCAAGCGATCCGGGAGTAGGTCAGGAGTGACCGCCTCGGTGACGGCAAGTAACATGCGTACTGAGACTGGTGTTGATGAGGAAGTTAAAGATTTTATAGGCGCACTGGGCCTTGGTATCGTTGTCGACGACCCGTGCGCAGGTCGACGACATTTATGCACTCAGGCATTCAGGCATCAATTATCATCCTCAGGCCACCAAGTCATGCATATGCTGCAGTTATGCTATATGCAAAGTCAATGCTAATAATAACCATATCACAGTATCCTTTTACTGTTTATGGCGTCATCTTTTGCTCTAGGAAGATCCTTTTATTTATTATAAAGCTCATTCCCCCACTACCGTATGGTACTAACACGACGTGCTCTGAGATAATATCTAAGCAAAGTGTCGCCATACCACGCCATCTCACACAAAACCACCACCATCTCCCCAACAGTGGCGATAATTTCCAATAAGAAACCGCCCTCTGACCCGTTCATAAGGAAGTGTTACCCTTTGAGATGCCGAACTGCCTTTTTCAGCTACCGAGGCGGGGAAGTTCGATAAGAGAACCGTTGCCCGCGCTCCGTGAAACTTCTCACTTAAAATTCCCCAAATATCTTTTGGGCCCAGCACACATCTTGAAAACGATTTCATCGCAATTATGGGTGACGCGCCATTGTCACCGGAGCATGTGCTCGTTATTTTCTATCAGACGATGCCAGCAGAACTGAAGGAGATTATCCGACACAAATTCTCCGATGCCGAGGTTACTATTTACCACTCTCAGGGAGATATCCCTGTTCCATCTGGTAAGTGACTACCCTTAAATATTTAAGGTCACGCAAACTAAAAGCTCGCGCAGAAGTATACCAAAGGGCCACCATCCTTGCGACTTTCAGCGACCTTCCAGATCTCAAGGACTCGAAGAAGTAACAAGCTCCCACCCCAATCGGTGTTACTATGCATTAACCATTATTGTAGCCTTAAACTAATTCACACGTTCTCTGCTGGCGTGGATCATCTTTTGCGACATCCAATTTTGCAAGAAAGTAATATCCCCATCACTACAAGCTCGGGTATCCATGGTCCTCCGATTGCAGAATGGACCGTGATGAATTGGCTTATATCTTCCCGGAAATACGTCAAGGGATATGAGGCACAGAAATCCCACCTATGGGATAAGGCTGCGTACAAGCCAGGTATTCATGATCAAGTGGGCAAGAAGGTAGGTATTCTAGGATATGGGAGTATCGGGCGCCAGAGTATGTTTCCATGGTGACTCCATAGCCACGAGCTGCAAATTTTTTAAAAAAAGCGGGAATGCCAAGTTGACCACCGACAGTTGCCCGGGTCTCCCACGCATTGGGCATGACCGTCCACGCGTACACGGCTACTCCACGCCCAACACCTGAATCCCGCCGTGACAGCGGCTACATCGTGCCCGGAACCGGAGACCCAGACGGCTCAATCCCGGCATCCTGGCACCACGGAACAGACCGAGAATCAATCCGCTCTTTCTTGGCTACCGGGCTCGATCATCTGGTGGTCTCACTTCCTCTGACTCCGCAAACAAACCGACTACTCGGCGCAGAGGAATTCGCCATTCTCTCCGACAACTCTCATCACCATGCGAGCAAGCCTTACGTGACGAACATTTCACGAGGCAAGGTTATCGACCAAAAGGCCTTGGTCGATGCGCTGAATTCTGGGGTCTTGGGTGGTGCTGCACTTGATGTCACCGACCCTGAGCCTCTTCCTGAGGATGATCCTCTCTGGGAGGCATCCAATGTCCAAATCAGTCCACATGTCAGCGCCCTTGGGGTCGAGTATTTCCCGCGCTCTCTTGATATCCTCGAGGTAAATCTGGGGCGCATTGCTCGGGGTGAGCCGTTTATCAACTCTTATATACGTGGCAAAGGGTATTAGCTTTTGCGCATGTAGCATGTAGGTATTGGTTGCTTTAATGCCAAAGGATGGGAGATTGTTACCCCACCAAAATTCTCAAACATCCTTGATTCGGTCATTATTTTACTCTATACTATAACCTTTTGTTTTTCCTTGTTTCATTTGCGTGAATAATACATTCCTCTTTCTCACTTCTCGCGTTGCCTGAGTAAAGCCTCCAACTCTCGATATCGTCGCCGTTCCGCCGCTGCGTCCTGGCTCATGCCCACAACACGTGCTTTTTATATATTCGCTATGCTTTTCCACATGCCCCTGCGCCTCGGGTACGATCCGTACTACTCTTAGCTTTGATTTTGTGATCTAATACAGACATTAGACTTCCAGAGTGATCACAGACCTTTAATTGAGGTGGCCACTTGGAAATCAAATCGATCTAATAAACAGAAAAATGAACCGCCGGAAATGAGACCGTCGGAAATCAAGCCCGATAAAAGGGAAAGCGAACACAGCGAAACATGCGAGACAGATATTTGTTTGAGCACACGAATCTGAGAGACGAGCCTAGTGTTTATCTTCTATCACTGTCGTCGTCGAGGTTCAGAGAGAGGGTTGGAGCTCGGTGATAAGAGCCTCGACGCGACGGCGGATCTCGTCGCGAATAGGGCGCACAGGATCAAGGCCTTTCCTGGCAGGGTCGTTAAGTTGCCAATCGAGATAGCACTTGCCAGCAAAGAAGGGGCAGACGTCCGCGCACCCCATTATGATGATTATATAGGGAGAGAATCAGAGGGAAAATGTAACAGTATAACCAGCGAAACTCTAGTCAAAATCGCGGCTGGGAACCTAAAAGAGATAATCTTTGGCGCAGCCTAACTCAGTTTCCTCAGCCATATGTGATGTGCTCAGAGATTCGCTCACATATTACGGATCATCTTGAGCTTCGATGGATGGAGCCTTAGCGCCTTTTTAAGGAATAAGGTGGAAAGGTTTAAGTTGTCGGTGCTAAGACCGCCCTAAGGCATTAAATGATGGGTGTTACAGTACAGTGATTCTCGAAATCGCCTTGACCAATATACACTGAGAAACTCTTTCCTGGTCCCACCGCCAAGGACTTAGCCCAGATCAGTTATTGAGCTGCCTGCTTACATTAAATTGAGGGCGCAATAAAATGCAACCGCGTGTGTTGCATTACCACGTGACGTAAGATTACACTACGTGTCGTCCCGAAGGGTTTGCAGGGTTTGCATCTCTTGGTGGCCTCAGGCACTCCACAGGGAGTGGTCCTGGGCGCACAGAGAGAAAGGGTTTCTATTGGTCTAAGAGCGAGGGCTCCACCGATTATGTAATTATATTCACTTTTGTGGCCTAGCTAGTACTATCCAATAGAAACCATGCGATCCTTACAGAATCTCATATGCGTACGATAAGAAAGCTCATGGAATTCCATGGAAACCTATGGTGGATCTCTGCAAATCATATGGGGAAGGCCACCTGACGCCAAGTAACTTGATGATCTGCTGGGGGACCTCCCTTTCTCCTCCCTCTCCTGTGGAACTTGTGCTTGTCATCACTCGTGAGGGCGTCTCTGGCTCAGAGAACCTCGACGAGGGATATCATCGGCAAACGGCCGTCCTGGCCAGTTGTCGGCTGTTTGCAGGCGAACAACTACCTCAACGGCTCCTAATGGGGTAGGCCTCAGCTAATAATCACTCACCCTTAGTCTGTCGTTACAGTAGGGCTGGGAAAATGAGGCCCAGTTCTCTCATTAGCCGTGGTGGTTACGGCATTCAACAAGGTGAAACGTGGGACGATATTTCATAATATGCACCAACACCGAGCAACTTCCGTCGTTCACCCGCTTCCCCATCCGATATAAGCCGCGCCAACATCGGCCCCACAGCCCCCATCCATTACGGCTGTCTGCAATATATAGGACGAGCGTGGGCGAAGGCTTCGTGGAATCCAGAAGACGAAATGAATCGTGGGCGTTCTTGCTGGACTTCTAACTTTCTTGTTTAGTTTTCACGGATTATTTAAAATCCGAATATAAATTTCTACGAGGCTCTATAGAATACTACGGTATTAGTACAATGATTCATTTGTTAGTATTAGCCGTTACAGTATAGGCTGCCAGGGGTCGTTGAAGTAGTAACTAAGTTAAGATTTCGGGCATTTCAAGTCGGGGCTCGGGAAATAATTCGTATTCGTGAGGATTTCGAATATTGCTGTACTGAAGGATAGGTCTGTGAAAGGAGGCAGAGTAGCAACGAGATTGGCTGGACTCTGACCCCTGCGAGCTTAGCTTTCGCCTGTCAGGCTGAAAAATCGCTAAGTGCATCTAAGAATATCCAGCGTTTTCACCATACCGAGGACATGGCATGGCTGAATAACCTGAGAAGCAGGATCAGAAAGCGATATAAACGCACGCGAAAGACAGCCGGCCTCGAAGAGGCGATCCGAGTATCTCTCTAGGAACTTGAGTTGACGCTGGAAGGCCATCGTGGTCGGTCCCGTAGGCTGCCTAGACAACTTGGGAAACAGGCTCGGAAGTCGATATAAAAAAGACTGAGTGTCTCGCTGGGCAGTTGAGATCGCGCCTAGTGACCATCCTTATCCTGGGAATCAAGAACAGAGACCGTGCCCGGCCTGCAATATTCCCACTACAACGAGGCAAAATGAAAGGCTGCCGACTGAATACACAGGCTACAAGTGCCCTCTTTCTGATGCAATTCAAATATATCTCTCTGATCATTATCGGACTTGGTGTTGACTGTATTGTCGTGCGCGGCTTGTTGCAGGCGGTTGTTCGCGTCACCAGTAACAACCCTACAACATCAATTGACAGCATCTATGACCGCTATTGAATAGATAATTCGCCCAGCGTAAAATCTAAGTCTAGGTTACATATTCCTTTCAAACCAGTAACTTAGGACCGTGGGATAAAGAGGCGCAGACACGAGCCGCCTCCAGCCCTAGAAAAGTTGAACCCTTGGATGCTCTTCGATACACGTGCTTCGTTCATTACAATGCTTCCTACCGAAAGTTACTTCGGAGGTCCAAAGAGTAGGAACTCCATTTCCTCTTCAAGCGGTAACAGAGCCTTTTCCTTGAAGGCGTTGCAGTACTCATCATCATCGAAATTTGCATCGGGGTTGAGGTATCCTTGTAGGCAGGCCAAAATAGCCTGGGAGAAGGCACATGATAATCTCCCATGAGACTTTTCCTCCTTGAGCCATCCCTCCGCTAGTTGGAGACCCGATTGATCATTCGGTAAGACGTTAATGATTTGATCATCTCCGAGTCTTCTCTCAACAGGCCGTCCAGAACTAATTTCAAGCAGCATAATCGCTAAGGCAAGCAAGTTCGAACAGGTTCTGTTGACAGGTGTAGGATCGGGTCGTCGGGGACTAGCTCCTAATTTTTGGATCAGCTGCGATGATTTCGAAGTTGAGATTTGAAGCAACGCACCCTGATAAAATTTCTTCACTAAGGAAGGATATCTTAGGTCGACAGTCAATGGCATGTTACTGTTCGCTCTTGCGAACACGATGTCCCTCTTACTCCATTTAGTTTCAAGCCATGGAGTATGGTTTAGTTGAAAAATTGACGCTATCAAGGTGATGGCGAGTCCGTACACTTCTGTTATGGGGAGTTTGGCCTCGAAGTGCGGAAGAAGGGCCTCGAGAGATAAAGACTGCTGAACGTAGTCAGCAGCAGTCTCTTTCAAGGAAGGGCGTGATTTCAGGCAGCCCTTATCATTAAGGCAGAATACCACAAATGGATGCGGGGGTTGCCTAACGACTTTGCATAAGCTCGTGATATGCTGCAAATTTGTAGGGTCGTGGTCGTCCTCTGGAACTGATATCGTCATGCGAACAGTCCCCGCGCTACTTTAGTGTCACCATCAGAGCTCAAAATGACAGCAAAAGAGAACCCAAAAGTGCGTACCTCGACGGGAGTTCGTCAATCTTTATTTCAGAATTCAACCACTGAGAAGACGCGTTGCAATCCCCACGAAGACTCAATCCGAAACAAGTCGCCTGCGCCACCAAGTTCAAGCTCGCTGCTTGCAGAGGCCTCTTAGTTTTCTTTGACCTCACCAGCCGTTGCTCGAGGAGCAGACGTGCGACATGGACAGGGTTGTCGTTACACCAGTTTCGAGAAATTACTTGATGTACTTTGGTCGCGTTCTCTTGGATGGTACCCAATGATGCAGAAAATTTCAGCTTCAGACGACTCTGCGGTGTCTCATCCTGCAGCCTGTCGGCTCTGGTTGTCCAAACATCAATCATCCTCGTACAAGCCTCCAAACGCTCTAGCGCGGCCTTCACGCGGTTTTTCTTCATGGTAAACTTGATCCTCTGCCCGAATTCGAAATTTTTGTGAAGGAACGGAGTATTCGCGATCTGCGAATTAGAAAAGACGATTGGCAGGAGGTTTTTACTTGTGAAAACCTACCAAAGTCAGTGCTGAGTCTACCTTCCAAGAGGGGTGCTCGGACCTGCTGCGATCCAGGGATATTGAGGCAAGCCGCTATCTCGACCAGGATCTCTGACACTTCATCTATGGTGAGAATGAATGGGCCGTATACTGACCCTAACTTATCGCGTAGACTGTCAGCAATGTCTCCTTCTCTCCACAATTCGCTTCGGGGATCCTCCATCATCATGGTTTGGTCTGCGAGGTCGGCAAATGGCTTCAGTAGGAGACGAACGGCTTGGTCGTAAGAGGTGTGTATTGTATAAAGCTCCCTGATTAACCTTCGCAAATGCCGTTTCCAATGAAAAAAAGCTTTTGTGGGAGCTGCCAAGTTCTCGTAGTTCTCGAGGGCAGATATAATGAGAGGAATGGCTCCTAGGACGAGTCCAGTTGCTTCCACTCCTGTCACCATTTTGGATTGAGAGGCACATCAACGCAACTCACTCTGGAGAGGCGGCTGGCGAGATAAATCAATTTGAAAGAAACGAGGCCCTTCCCTTCGACCTCGGCTGAGCTAAGAAGTTCTTCCCAAGGGAAACGGTCAACGTGGAGCCTCCCGACGCGCCGGCTCGGGCACACCAGATCTCAGCCGCACGTCCTTTTTTTGTTGTATCGACCCCGCTAAAGCGCAGCTCTTGGCGCTAGTTCAACGAATGGTCTTTTTCCATTCCCTGGTATCCTTCCGTTATGATGAGGGATTTAATTGTGCTCGGGCGTTGGAGAGAACCTCGGCGAACCGCGTGGATACACCTTTGGTTCTATTGGGCCCTAGTCCACTCTAACAAGTTTGCGACTCATCAACTACGAAAGATGAAGATGAAGCCCACGAGGTGTACGAGACAATATTTTCTATGCCTCTGAGATCGGAACCCTAGCCATGGATGACATCGGCGCCCTTTCTACCTTTTGTGCCAGTTGCTTCGATACTCTGACACGATCGCTGCGCACGTCTTCGGATGAGTTCAAAAAGCAGATGATGCCAATGGCAGTTGAAAATGAATATGCCCGCTTCAAGATCTGGGCTGGTAATCTGGGCGCTTTACAGAGAGGCCAAAGTTCTCTTGACGCTAGATTACGAGACTCGGTGGTGCTACGAGCAGCTGTCCTCAAATTCTTGGGACAGTTGCAAGACTCATTGAATAAGAGTACGTTGTGTCGCACCTCCTGCCATTATAGTTGGAATCCCTTATTGACTGTGATTGCCCAGGTGCTGAGATCACCACAGGTCTTCGCCTACCGTACGAACAGGGTGGCGATGTCACACATGGTCCCGACGAAGAAATTGAGGACAAAAGTGACACCAGTGACACCAGTAGTGACCTGGAGACTGGAGAACTGGCTGAGAGACTAAACGAAATCAAGGATGTCATGGAGCACCTGTATAGGCTCTCGTTCAAGATACGCAACACGAGATATCGTTCTCTCACCAAGAAAGCTCTTCTGATGAAAGAAGAGGATCCACAAACCGGGAAAGACTTGTTCTCGGCGTATGCCATCTTCGATCGTCGGCATGTACAAGAGTCACTCAATCATCTGCGCCCGCGTCCATCATTAAAGGAATTCGCTGCTGAACCTGCACGAGACCCAAGTCACGGTCTTTTGGATGTATTCGATGCCGGGGATCGCCTGCTAGATAGCGACGATTTTCTGCGAGATCGCTTAGCAAAAGCAATCACCGACCGGAGAAGGTATTTTGCATATTGGCGGAGACATGCTCTCAAGCTCTCACACGTTACGGATGGGCTAGCCCCCTCGCAGGACTTCACAACTCTCGTGAAGCCCGCGGAACCTGTTTCCGAGCCTCCAACCACAACCCCTATCTCAGGCACTTTCATACCAACTCCAGGGCCAAAAACCATGGTGTCAGGAACCGATTTCTCCATGTATAACCGTGAATTGGACGACCAGCTGGATACAGAGACCGTGATTTCTTACGCGACTACGGCCTACGATGTTGACGGAAATTCCTCACAGCTGCCTCCACCTCCTCCCGATGCGGCCAATAAGTCAGAGTTCGTTTGTCCGTATTGCTGGGTAGCTTGTCCGTCGAGACAAGGAAAAGGAAAGTCATGGCAGTAAGTGTCTAGGATCATTGGCTGGATAGGAGCATCGTTCTAATGGATGTTAGAGAGCATATCCGCCAAGATCTCCAGCCGTACGTATGTACCTACGAGAAATGCCCAGAGGCCGACCGCATGTACGCCAGTCGGCATGCGTGGCTTGAGCATGAACGACTAGTCCACCGCCGCATATGGAGATGCTTCGAACACAGGTCCTTCATCTCAATATCGAAAAACGGCTTGCTGCAACACTTTTTAGATTGCCACGAAGGTCTAGATGAGCAGCAGATCGAAAATCTCCTAGATATAGCCGAGACGACGGTAGCCAATGACAGACAGACGTGCCCATTCTGCTACTCGGTTGGACCTTTCGTTAAGGGCTTTTACAATCACGTGGCTTTCCATCAGGAACAACTCGCGACCTTTGCAGTTCCACGATACTTTGACAGCAATGAAGAGGCGGACTCTGGGAGAGCCGAAGGCATCAGATCAGCCGGCACTTTGCGTTCCGTTGCTCTAGATTTCCCGGACGGTGATAGCAGCCTTGACAGCGATGATAGTGACGTATCAGTAGATAAAGTCGACAACCCCCTACTAGACTCCGCAGCAATCGGGGACGACGCGGTCGTAAGGCTGCTGCTCGACAAGGGCGCCGATCCCGAGTCGAGAGATAATCATGGCCAGACGCCGCTGGCGCGGGCGGCTACGAACGGCCACGACGCGGTCGTAAGGCTACTGCTCGACAAGGGCGCCGATCCCGAGCCGAGGGATAATTATGGCCAGACGCCGCTGGCGTGGGCGACTAAGAACGGCCACGAGGCGGTCGTAAGGCTGCTGCTCGAGAGGAGCGCCGATCCCGAGCCGAAGGATAATTACGTCCAGATGCCGCTGGCCGAAGCCAGGCACCGGCGGGCGTTAGAAGACCAAGAAAAGGTGCTAGGGCCAGAACATCCAGACACGCTCACTAGTTTCAGCAAGCTTGGTTTGGTCCTTGAAAGCCAGGGAAAGTACGAAGAAGCCGAAGCCATACACCGGCGGACGTTACAAGACCGAGAGAAGGTGCTAGGGCCAGAACATCCAGACACGCTCACCAGCGTCAGCAACC